ATGAGAGAGAGACGCAAACTCCAAATATACAGCAGCAGGCTTCAGGGTCGGGATCGAACCCACGACCTCCTGTGTACCGGGCGAGGTAGTTAACATCTCCTAGCCACCGTGATGATGATGAGAGAGAGAGACGCAAACTCCAAATATACAGCAGCAGGCTTCAGGGTCGGGATCGAACACACGACCTCCTGTAGACCAGGCGAGGTAGTTAATATCTCCTAGCCACCGTGATGATGATGAGAGAGAGAGACGCAAACTCCAAATATACAGCAGCAGGCATCAGGGTCAGGAACGAACCCACGACCTCCTGTAGACCAGGCGAGGTAGTTAATATCTCCTAGCCACCGTGATGATGATGAGAGAGAGAGACGCAAACTCCAAATATACAGCAGCAGGCTTCAGGGTCGGGATCGAACCCACGACCTCCTGTGTACCGGGCGAGGTAGTTAACATCTCCCAGCCACCGTGGCGCCCCTCAGCCTAGAAAACACCGTGGGCAAGGTGGGGACGATCCTGCTGAGGCTGTGGTGCCTCAAATATTGGGAGGAAGAAGTCGCTCCCTGTCAGTAGTTGGCCGATGTGCCATTTGTTGAGGAAGGGCGATCCAGAGTCTGAGGCCAGGAAAAGTGCTGGGCAGAGATGACCTGGCTGTGACGGTCCCACCTGATGACGGAGACTTGTGTTGCCTCCGAAACGTCGTGATTTTATTGTTTTATTTTTATTAATTTTTATTTCATTTTTTACCTACGTGACTTTACCGAAAGAACTAAGAGTATGAATCCTTGCAGTCACGAAAGCTTCAAATCTAGAACAGAGATGACCTCTCAAGCAACCTGTTGAGGGAGGATAGCGTCTGTGTGCAGACTGCCCTATACGGCATCAATACAACCGTCTGGTCCCCACGACGGGTTCCGCAGAATTGGAAAGATGAATTTGTGGAGAGACAGCACTGATTGCCACAACTACCAGGGCATCTCGCTCCTCCGTGTGAGGCCAGGGAAAGGTCCTGGCAAGGGTAATTCGATGTCGCCTGGCCAGGCAGTGCGCTGAGGAGAGGCTTGCAGAGCCCCAATGTCGTTTCTCTGTAAGGTGGCGACAGCGGAGGTGTAGGAAATTTCAAAAGGACCTACATCTCTGTTTAGATGACCTGGCCAAGGCCCATGATACCACCAACAGACCAGGGCTCTGGGTTACTGTTGGTGCTTTCGGAGGCCCATTCCTTCTGCTCACAACTATAAAGGACCTTCACATGGAGGCGGGCAGGCCTGGGTAAAGCTGCGTGGCCGGGAGTCTGAACCATTCCCTATTCACCCTTAGGGTGCCGGAGGGGTGTCCTGCGACCCACACACGATGTCACATCTTCTTTAGCCACGTAGTCTGCTGAGGCTGTTTGAGGGATCTTTGTATGCGTGTGCTGCTTGAATCAGAAGCTGAATTGGTTGAAAACGTTGTCATGGCGATGCCCTTTTACTCATCACTGCCACGATGAGGGTATCCAGAGACCCCAGCAACAGGGCACCCTGCACCAACACACCCAGCACCAACACACCCAGCACCAACACACCCAGCACCAACACACCCAGCACCAACACCCCCAGCACCAACACACCCTGCACCAACACACCCACACACCCAGCACCAACACACCAACACACCCAGCACCAACACCCCCAGCACCAATACACCCAGCACCCACACACCCTGCACCAACACACCCGGGACCAACACCCCCAGCACCAACACACCCAGCACCAACACACCCTGCACCAACACACCCGGGACCAACACCCCCAGCACCAACACACCCAGCACCAACACACCCAGCACCAACACACCCAGAACCAACACCCCCAGCACCAACACACCCAGCACCAACACACCCTGCACCAACACACCCGGGACCAACACCCCCAGCACCAACACACCCAGCACCAACACACCCAGCACCAACACACCCAGAACCAACACACCCAGCACCCACACACCCAGAACCAACACACCCAGCACCAACAAACCCAGAACCAACACACCCAGCACCAACACACCCAGAACCAACAGACCCAGCACCCACACACCCAGAACCAATACGCCCAGCACCAACACACCCAGAACCAACACACCCAGCACCCACACACCCAGCACCAACACACCCAGCACCCACACCCCCAGCACCCACACCCCCAGCACCAACACACCCTGCACCAACACACCCAGCACCAACACACCCACACACCCAGCACCAACACACCAACACACCCAGCACCAACACCCCCAGCACCAACACACCCAGCACCTACACACCCAGCACCAACACACCCACACACCAACACACCCAGCACCAACACACCCACACACCAACACACCCAGCACCAACACCCCCAGCACCAACACACCCAGTACCTACACACCCAGCACCCACACACCCAGAACCAACACACCCAGCACCAACAAACCCAGAACCAACACACCCAGCACCAACACACCCAGAACCAACACACCCAGCACCCACACACCCAGAACCAATACGCCCAGCACCAACACACCCAGAACCAACACACCCAGCACCCACACACCCAGCACCAACACACCCAGCACTAACACACCCAGCACCAACACACCCAGCACTAACACACCCAGCACCAACACACCCAGCACCAACACACCCAGCACCAACACACCCAGGACCAACACACCCAGGACCAACACACCCAGCACCCACACCCCCAGCACCAACACACCCAGCACCAACACACCCAGCACCAACACACCCACACACCAACACACCCAGCACCAACACACCCAGCACCAACACACCCACACACCAACACACCCAGCACCAACACACCCAGCACCTACACACCCAGCACCAACACACCCACACACCCAGCACCAACACCCCCAGCACCAACACACCCAGCACCAACACACCCAGCACCAACACACCCACACACCCAGCACCAACACCCCCAGCACCAACACACCCAGCACCAACACCCCCAGCACCAACACACCCAGCACCTACACACCCAGCACCAACACACCCACACACCAACACCCCCAGGACCAACACACCCAGCACCCACACCCCCAGCACCAACACACCCTGCACCAACACACCCAGCACCAACACACCCACACACCAACACACCCAGCACCAACACCCCCAGCACCAACACCCCCAGCACCAACACACCCAGCACCAACACACCCAGCACCAACACACCCAGCACCTACACACCCAGCACCAACACACCCACACACCAACACACCCAGCACCAACACCCCCCAGCACCAACACACCCAGCACCAACACACCCAGCACCAACACACCCAGAACCAACACACCCAGCACCCACACACCCAGAACCAACACACCCAGCACCAACAAACCCAGAACCAACACACCCAGCACCAACACACCCAGAACCAACACACCCAGCACCCACACACCCAGAACCAATACGCCCAGCACCAACAGACCCAGAACCAACACACCCAGCACCCACACACCCAGCACCAACACACCCAGCACCAACACACCCAGCACCAACACACCCAGCACCAACACACCCAGGACCAACACACCCAGCACCCACACCCCCAGCACCAACACACCCTGCACCAACACACCCTGCACCAACACACCCAGCACCAACACACCCACACACCAACATACCCAGCACCAACACCCCCAGCACCAACACACCCAGCACCTACACACCCACACACCCGGCACCAACACACCAACACACCCAGCACCAACACCCCCAGCACCAACACACCCAGCACCTACACACCCAGCACCAACACACCCACACACCAACACACCCAGCACCAACACACCCACACACCAACACACCCAGCACCAACACCCCCAGCACCAACACACCCAGCACCTACACACCCAGAACCAACACACCCAGCACCAACAAACCCAGAACCAACACACCCAGCACCAACACACCCAGAACCAACACACCCAGCACCCACACACCCAGAACCAATACGCCCAGCACCAACACACCCAGCACCCACACACCCAGCACCAACACACCCAGCACCAACACACCCAGCACCAACACACCCAGCACCAACACACCCAGCACCAACACACCCAGGACCAACACACCCAGCACCCACACCCCCAGCACCAACACACCCTGCACCAACACACCCAGCACCAACACACCCACACACCAACACACCCAGCACCAACACCCCCAGCACCAACACACCCAGCACCTACACACCCAGCACCTACACACCCAGCACCAACACACCCACACACCAACACCCCCAGCACCAACACACCCAGCACCTACACACCCAGCACCAACACACCCACACACCAACACACCCAGGACCAACACACCCAGCACCAACACACCCAGCACTAACACACCCAGCACCAACACACTCAGCACCAACACACCCAGCACCAACACACCCAGCACCAACACACCCAGCACCAACACACCCAGCACCAACACACCCAGCACCAACACACCCACACACCCAGCACCAACACACCCACACACCCAGCACCAACACACCCAGCACCAACACACCCACACACTCAGCACCAACACACCCAGCACCAACACCCCCAGCACCCACACACCCACACACACCCAGCACCAACACACCCAGCACCCACACACCCAACACACCAACACCCACAGCACCCACACACACCCAGCACCAACACCCCCAGCACCCACACACCCAACACACCAACACACGCAGCACCAGGACACCCAGCACTAGGACACCCGCTACCAGCACATGCTTCATCAAGACGCCCTGCACCGGGACACCCTGCACCACGCACGAGGTTATCCAGCACCCTGCGCTGAAACCCATGAGCGCGATGCAAGGCACACGTGGAGGGGCTGAATGGTGGAAAGAGGGGAAGGGTGGGGCTGTGGGGGAGGGGCGGGGCCGGGCGCACCCCCCCCACCCCCCGCACCCCCCGCACCCCCCGCACCCCCCGCACCCCCCGCACCCCCCGCACCCCCCCGCACCCCCCGCACCCCCCCGCACCCCCCCACCCCCCGCACCACGTGTTTACATTTCACACGTTTAAATTGAATTCTAAATCGTCCCGCGATTCCCTCTTCTTCGTCTGCAGGGGGGTTCAGATCTGCAGGTGGGTGGGGAGGGTGGGGAGTGCGGGGGAGGGGAGGGGGCCACGGGGGAATTGAGGAATTGTGGCCAGGGGGGGGGGGGGTGAATGAGTGCCGCGCGCACGCATTTAATTAGCCGTAGTGACGTCACCGTGAATGAGTAGGGGGAGCCCCCCCCGTCCACCCGCCCCTCGCCCCCCGCCACCCCCGCCCCCCAGTCAGCTGTAGATAATCTCCAATTCATTTTCTCGCCATTAACGGAAGCTGAGCTCCTTTGGGGTTGCACACGGCGCGGCAGAGAGCGACAGCCATGCCCCGTGTCACTACAGCCTTGCCCCGTGTCACTACAGCCTTGCCCCGTGTCACTACAGCCTTGTCCCGTGTCCCTACAGCCTTGCCCCGTGTGACTACAGCCTTGCCCCGTGTCACTACATCCTTGCCCCGTGTCACTACAGCCTTGCCCCGTGCCCCTACAGCCTTGCCCCGTGTCACCACAGCCTTGCCCCGTGTCACCACAGCCTTGCCCCGTGTCCCTACAGCCTTGCCCGTGTCACTACAGCCATGCCCCGTGTCACTACAGCCTTGCCCCGTGTCACTACAGCCTTGCCCCGTGTCCCTACAGCATTGCCCCGTGTCTCTACAGCCTTGCCCCGTGTCACTACAGCCTTGCCCCGTGTCACTACAGCCTTGCCCCGTGTCACTACAGCCTTGCCCCGTGTCACTACAGCCTTGCCCCGTGTCCCTACAGCCATGCCCCGTGTCACTACAGCCTTGCCCCGTGTCACTACAGCCTTGCCCGTGTCACTACAGCCTTGCCCCGTGTCACTACAGCCTTGCCCCGTGTCCCTACAGCCTTGCCCCGTGTCACTACAGCCTTGCCCCGTGTCACTACAGCCTTGCCCCGTGTCACTACAGCATTGCCCCGTGTCACTACAGCCTTGCCCCGTGTCACTACAGCCTGCCCGGTCACTACAGCTGCCCGTGTCACTACAGCCTTGCCCCGTGTCTCTACAGCCTTGCCCCGTGTCACTACAGCCTTGCCCCGTGTCTCTACAGCCTTGCCCCGTGTCCCTACAGCCTTGCCCCGTGCCCCTACAGCCTTGCCCCGTGTCACTACAGCCATGCCCCGTGTCTCTACAGCCTTGCCCCGTGTCACTACAGCCTTGCCCCGTGTCTCTACAGCCTTGCCCCGTGTCACTACAGCCTTGCCCCGTGTCACTACAGCCTTGCCCCGTGTCCCTACAGCCTTGCCCCGTGTCACTACAGCCCTGCCCCGTGTCACTACAGCCTTGCCCCGTGTCACACACACGCCTTGCCCCGTGTCACTACAGCCCTGCCCCGTGTCACTACAGCCTTGCCCCGTGTCACTACAGCCTTGCCCCGTGTCACTACAGCCCTGCCCCGTGTCACTACAGCCTTGCCCCGTGTCACTACAGCCTTGCCCCGTGTCCCTACAGCCTTGCCCCGTGTCACTACAGCCTTGCCCCGTGTCTCTACAGCCTTGCCCCGTGTCCCTACAGCCTTGCCCCGTGTCTCTACAGCCTTGCCCCGTGTCTCTACAGCCTTGCCCCGTGTCACTACAGCCTTGCCCCGTGTCTCTACAGCCTTGCCCCGTGTCACTACAGCCATGCCCCGTGTCTCTACAGCCTTGCCCCGTGTCTCTACAGCCATGCCCCGTGTCACTACAGCCTTGCCCCGTGTCTCTACAGCCTTGCCCCGTGTCTCTACAGCCTTGCCCCGTGTCACTACAGCCTTGCCCCGTGTCACTACAGCCTTGCCCCGTGTCCCCACAGCCTTGCCCGTGTCACTACAGCCTTGCCCCGTGTCACTACAGCCTTGCCCCGTGTGACTACAGCCTTGCCCCGTGTCCCTACAGCCTTGCCCCGTGTCTCTACAGCCTTGCCCCGTGTCACTACAGCCTTGCCCCGTGTCACTACAGCCTTGCCCCGTGTCACTACAGCCTTGCCCCGTGTCCCTACAGCCTTGCCCCGTGTCACTACAGCCCTGCCCCGTGTCACTACAGCCTTGCCCCGTGTCACTACAGCCTTGCCCCGTGTCACTACAGCCCTGCCCCGTGTCACTACAGCCTTGCCCCGTGTCACTACAGCCTTGCCCCGTGTCACTACAGCCCTGCCCCGTGTCACTACAGCCTTGCCCCGTGTCACTACAGCCTTGCCCCGTGTCCCTACAGCCTTGCCCCGTGTCACTACAGCCTTGCCCCGTGTCTCTACAGCCTTGCCCCGTGTCCCTACAGCCTTGCCCCGTGTCTCTACAGCCTTGCCCCGTGTCTCTACAGCCTTGCCCCGTGTCACTACAGCCTTGCCCCGTGTCTCTACAGCCTTGCCCCGTGTCACTACAGCCATGCCCCGTGTCTCTACAGCCTTGCCCCGTGTCTCTACAGCCATGCCCCGTGTCACTACAGCCTTGCCCCGTGTCTCTACAGCCTTGCCCCGTGTCTCTACAGCCTTGCCCCGTGTCACTACAGCCTTGCCCCGTGTCACTACAGCCTTGCCCCGTGTCCCCACAGCCTTGCCCGTGTCACTACAGCCTTGCCCCGTGTCACTACAGCCTTGCCCCGTGTGACTACAGCCTTGCCCCGTGTCTCTACAGCCTTGCCCCGTGTCTCTACAGCCTTGCCCCGTGTCACTACAGCCTTGCCCCGTGTCACTACAGCCTTGCCCCGTGTCACTACAGCCTTGCCCCGTGTCACTACAGCCTTGCCCCGTGTCACTACAGCCTTGCCCCGTGTCTCTACAGCCTTGCCCCGTGTCCCTACAGCCTTGCCCCGTGTCACTACAGCCTTGCCCCGTGTCACTACAGCCTTGCCCCGTGTCACTACAGCCATGCCCCGTGTCACTACAGCCTTGCCCCGTGTCTCTACAGCCTTGCCCCGTGTCTCTACAGCCTTGCCCCGTGTCACTACAGCCTTGCCCCGTGTCACTACAGCCTTGCCCCGTGTCACTACAGCCTTGCCCCGTGTCCCCACAGCCTTGCCCGTGTCACTACAGCCTTGCCCCGTGTCTCTACAGCCTTACCCCGTGTCACTACAACCTTGCCCCGTGTCACTACAGCCTTGCCCCGTGTCACTACAGCCATGCCCCGTGTCACTACAGCCTTGCCCCGTGTCACTACAGCCATGCCCCGTGTCTTTACAGCCATGCCCCGTGTCACTACAGCCTTGCCCCGTGTCACTACAGCCTTGCCCCGTGTCACTACAGCCATGCCCCGTGTCCCTACAACCTTGCCCCGTGTCACTACAGCCTTGCCCCGTGTCACTACAGCCTTGCCCCGTGTCACTACAGCCTTGCCCCGTGTCACTACAGCTTTGCCCCGTGTCACTACAGCCTTGCCCCGTGTCACTACAGCCTTGCCCCGTGTCACTACAGCCTTGCCCCGTGTCTCTACAGCCTTGCCTCGTGTCACTACAGCCATGCCCCGTGTCCCTACAGCCTTGCCCCGTGTCACTACAGCCTTGCCCAGTGTCACTACAGCCTTGCCCCGTGTCACTACAGCCTTGCCCCGTGTCTCTACAGCCTTGCCCCGTGTCACTACAGCCTTGCCCCGTGTCACTACAGCCTTGCCCCGTGTCACTACAGCCTTGCCCCGTGTCCCCACAGCCTTGCCCAGTGTCACTACAGCCTTGCCCCGTGTCACTACAGCCTTGCCCCGTGTCTCTACAGCCTTGCCCCGTGTCACTACAGCCTTGCCCCGTGCCCCTACATCCTTGCCCCGAGTCCCTACAGCCTTGCCCCGTGTCCCTACAGCCTTGCCCCGTGTCACTACAGCCTTGCCCCGTGTCTCTACAGCCTTGCCCCGTGTCACTACAGCCTTGCCCCGTGCCCCTACATCCTTGCCCCGTGCCCCTACAGCCATTAAAGTTGCGAAACCAGCTCGCAATGGGAAAGTGCAAGTTCTACTCCCGGTTGAGGTGTTGATCTCAACCCATGTTCCCTCTCTTTCCATGGTGAACAACATATGGATGGACTCGCCTCCGCCATACGAATGTGGAAATTCAACCGCTGGCTGTACAGGGCTGTAAACGGAACACGAGCATCGATATCTCACCGCGCATTCGAACAGAACAACGCTCCTGAAATTGTCCGTGCAGATCCAGAGCCGCCGTAACCCAGAGGTCGCAACCGGGTACCCGATACCCGTACCCTACCCGATACCCGGCTACCCGTACCCGGCCGGGTACGGGTACCCGTTTGCGACCCTGGTGCGGCCGGGTACAGGTACGGGTAGGCCGTGAGTCACTGGTGAGTAACCGTTTGTCACTCATTTAGGGTAGGGTACGGGTAGGGAACGGGTACCCGTACCCGGCCGGGTACGGGTACGGGTACCCGTTTGCGACCCTGGTGCGGCCGGGTACAGGTACGGGTAAGGAATCAAAACCCGTTTGCGACCTCTGCCGTAACCCCATGCGCCTGTGAACCCGCACAGCAACGGCATTGCCAATGTGCCCATCGTGCCCCCCGTGCCCCCCCTCCACCCGTGCCCCCCGTGCCCCCCCCCTTCACCCGTGCCCCCCGTGCCCCCCCCTCCCCCCGTGCCCCCCCCCTCCACCCGTGCCCCCCGTGCCCCCCCCCTCCACCCGTGCCCCCCGTGCCCCCCCCCTCCACCCGTGCCCCCCGTGCCCCCCCCCCTCCACCCGTGCCCCCGTGCCCCCCCCCTCCACCCGTGCCCCCCCCTCCACCCGTGCCCCCCGTGCCCCCCCCCTCCACCCGTGCCCCCCCCCCCCTCCACCCGTGCCCACCGCGCGTACCGATGGGGGTCCCCACTCCGTATCCCTTGCTGTCCACGAGGCCGCCGATCTGCGTGAGGTTGCAGTTGCGCTGCGTCACGAACTCGATGTTGGTGGACTCCATGAGGAAGGCGTAGTCCGTGGTGAGCACGCGGTTGATGCCCTCGTCGTTGCTCTTCACCAGCGACGTCTGCGCGCGGCTGTCCATGAAGATCCACATCTTCTCGTACGTGGTGATCTTGGACTTCTGTGGTGGCACGCGCGTGGGGCCAAGAGGTGGGAGAGGGGGCAGAGGTTAGGAGAAAGGAGGGCCACATGGTGGCGTCGTGGTCACACTCGCGCCTCGCTGCGACTCGGTTCGGTTCCCCACTCGGGTCGTTCCAGGAGGACCCCGCCCCGAGTCACGTGACTCGTCTCAAGTTTCTACTTCGAGGATACGTACAGCCGATAAGCGATGAGTTGCGGGGAGGAAATTGGAGCGCCCGGAGAGAAATAAAAAAAAGCCACGCCTTGCGCGAGGGGGAAACCCTCTATCCCCCGTCGAGAAAGGAGAGATGGAGATCAGCCAGCACGTTGCTGTACCGCCAACTCCTGGCGAGCCAGGGTACAGGCTGCTCCTCGAAGCCCACGGGAAAGGGAGTTTCACAACAGCATCTGCGTGCTCATCCACCAACCCTCGCTGCTCCTGCTGCAGCTGCCGCCGCCGCCGCCGCCTACGCAGTGCTGGATCACAGATGCGTCACGTGCAGCCGTAGGCAGCCGGAAGCTAAGCAGGCTGAAGCGTGCTGGGTGACCTCACCTGGAGCGTGGGAGACCTCCGGAATCTCCAGAGCGGTCATCTGTGGCCGCTCGCCAGTGATGTCCTACGGGCGGGGTTGCTAACGGATGGGAACGCGTCCCAGTTGATCCCCCTTCCCCCTCCCTCCCTCCCTGCCCCCCTTCCTCCCCCCCGTCTCCCGCAACCCTCCCCTCCCTCCCGCCACGTGACAGCCGCAATTAAATCTCAGCGCGATTGATGAAGGTCGGGTCACGTGCTCGCTCTGCAGGGATCACGAGCTCCGTGCGCGAGGCGGGCAGCTCCCACCCCACCCCCACCCTCCCCCCGCCCCCCCACCCCCCACCCCCCCCGCCCGCTCGGAGTTCACGCGGAGCGAACGGCATCGATCGTCACGGCGCGCTCTGAATGATCGCTCGCTGACCGCCACCCCCTTCCCTCCACCCACCTCCTCCTCTCCCTCCCTCCCTCCATCCCTCCTCCTCAACCCCACCCACCTCATCCTCTTCCTCCAACTCAACACCCACCACCTCCACCTCCACGTGAACCCCGCCCACCTCATCCTCCACCTCCGACTCATCACCCACCTCCTCCTCTCCCTCCTTATCATCATCCACCTCCACCTCCTCCTCCACGTCAAACCCACCCAGCTCATCCTCTCCCTCCACCTCCTCTTCCTTCTCTCGCTGCTCAACGCGGGAGAGGGAGCGCGTGGCGTCTCATGCAGCAGCAGCATCATCATCATCATCACATGACATCATCAGAAAGACAGTAACACAATCAGCAGCACTCATCATCGGCGGCAATAAAATCATCAGCAACAGGAGCAGCAGTGGCAGCGACAACACCGGCGGGATGTGCACCTGCAGCCAAATCATCATCACCATCATCATCACCATCATCATCAGCACCATCATCATCACCATCAGCAATATTAATACAGACACCAGTAAGTCCACAAGCATCATCAGCAGTAGTAACACCACCACCTCAACCACCACTATCTCAACCACCACCACCTTAACCACCACCACCTCAACCACCACCACCACCACTTAAACCACCACCACTCCAACCGTCACGTCTACTTCCACTTTTACCTTCACTATCAAAGATCCCCTGTGCGAGCCTTAACAGACTGTTGTAGCAAGTGCTGTTAGCGAGCACCTATTAAGGCCGGCACGGCACACGAGGGGGTGGGTGGCCAGCACCACTCCTGGCCGCCTTTGTCTCCCCAGTGCTGATGTTTACACACCGCACAAGGTACTCATTTAAGGCTGAGTCGACTTAGGGGAGGATCACCATCGGGTCAGATAATCGCCATCGGTGTTGCTGGCCGGGAGCTGGAATTGAACTCGGGTCGCCTCCACCACCACCACCTCCACTACCTTCACCTCAACTACCACCTCCTCTATGAGCGCCACCACCACCAGCACGACTACCTCCTCCCTCATCCTCCCCCCTCCTCCCTCCTCCTCCCTACTCCTCCTCTCTCCTCCTCCCTTCTCCCTCCTCCTCCTCCCCCTCTTCCTCCTCCCCCCTCCTCCCTCCTTCCCCCTTCCTCCCTCCTTCCCCCTCCTCCTCCCCTCCTCCTCCCTCCTCCTCCTCATCCCCCTCCTCCCTCCTTTCCCCTCCTCCTCCCCTCCTCCTACCCCATCCTCCTCCACCCCCTCCTCCTCCCTCCTCCTCCACCACCGCCACCACCCGCGCTGACCTTGAAGAAGGTCATGGTGGAGCCGTCACGCACGGCCCCGTACTCGATCTTGGTCTGCTTGGCGAGGTCGTCCGCCGAGTCGATGGGCGACTCCATGCGCTCGACCGTGAGGAAGGCGGCCAGGTTGGCCGTGTAGGACGAGATGATGATGAGGGTGAAGAACCACCAGATGCCTCCAACGATGCGTGTCGACAAGGCCTTTGGCATCAGCTCAGAGCCTTGCGTGCGAGGGCCCAATCGGTCGAGGGGGGGGGGGGGTTGGGGTTGGGGGGTTGGGGGGTGTCGGCCGAGGAGGTTCACCAACGTCCCACGTGGTGGAGGATGAGCGGTGGTCGACGCGTGCAGACCACGTGGCCACGGTTGGGGTCAAGGCGGTCGGAAGAAGAGACGCGTTAGCGGGGCGGGTGTGCCATCGGTGGCGGGTGGGGTGGGGTGGCGGGTGGGGGTGGGGGGCTTTGGGGAGAGAGGGGAGCACGCGGGGTCGGGGAGGGGGGTCGGGACAGCTGGTGATGTAACCGATGGGGGGGAGAGCCCCCCCCCCTCCATCGCCCCTTTCACCTGTGTGGGGTATTATTATTATTGTTGCTGCCGCTGTTATTCTGGAGGGACGTAATGACAGCCGCGCCAGGCACAGCCTGTTCCTGCATTGACTCGAAAATCGTGCGGACATGAGACCGGTTCCGCCTCCCTGCCCCCCCCTCCAGCCCCCCACCGGGATCCACCAGCCCCCCCCCCCGCCCGCCGGGTTGAGACGACCCCGGGGCAGCAAGGGCGATTGGATTTGCAAAGAGCGGAGTTTTAATAACAATCGTCGTCATCATCATCATCTTCTTATTCTTCTTCATTCGCCACCTATTGTCAACACAATCATCGTCGTTATCTAACGCGTCACGCCACAGTCATCGTCATCATCGTCGTCGTCAAACCATCAGCACAACGATCATCAAATCGACTCTCATCGTCGTCATCTTGCAACTATCAACATCACTGTCACACAACCGGGATTTTGTTCGCGTGGCACCGAGGTTCCGGAACTCCTAGCCACTTGGAATCAGGGCAATCGGAGCCCGTAGACAGACACAAGTCTGCTTTGAAAACTCATCTCTCCAAATTGGTCTGTCCCCCTTGAGTTAAGTTCGGTTGACCCTGGTTCTGTTTTTGTTTCCCGCTGTTCATGCATCCTAGGATGGAGTGCGCAATATACATTTGCATTATTATAAACCACTACCGCCATCATCATCATCATCCATCATCGATGTCCGATTCTCATCTTCACCCGCATCGCGACTACCACCACTCCGAGTTGCCGCGGGGGTGCGGGGGGGGGGGCGGTGAGAAAACGGGGGATAGGGGTGGGGGCTGTGTACAACACGGGGGGGGGGGAGGGGGGGTAAATCGCCTCCACTTATCTCTCCCCGCTCTGCCTCCGCGTCTCTCTTTGCCAATCCAATCTCAATCGCAATTGAATCCAAATCACAGGCCGAAACGGCGAACTCCAATTTGAACGCGCAAAATAAAAACAAACACAAACAACGTAAATATACATGCACAGACAAAGATCCCCCCGTGTAGCCTTAATATACTTTTTGGGGCAAGTGCATTTAGCGAGCAACTATGAAGGCCGGCACGGCACACTAAGAAGCGGGTAGTCAGCACCACGCTAGGTCGCCTTTGTCTCCCGAGTGGTTCTCATTGAGGCTGAGTCGACCTAGCGGAGGCCCACGACCGATTCAGAAAATCGTCACTGGTGTTGGCCGTGAGCGGAAATCGAACCTGGGTCGCCAGGTTCGTAGCGCAGCGCGATAACCGCTACATTACCGCTCCCCAGACACACACAGAGACACAGACAAACACAAAGATATACACAGAGACACAGACATACAGAGAGACACACACAGAGACACAGACACACACAGAGACACAGACACACACAGAGACACAGGCACACACAGAGATACAGACACACACAGAGATACAGACACACACAGAGACACAGACATGGGTACACAGAGACACAGACACACACAGAGAGACAGACACACACAGAGACACACACAGAGACACAGACACACACAGAGACACAGACACACACAGAGACACACACAGAGACACAGACACACACAGAGACACAGACACACACAGAGACACAGACACACACAGAGACACAGACACACACAGAGAGACAGACACACACCGAGACACAGACAGACACAGAGACACACACAAAGACACAGACACACACAGAGACACACACAGAGACACAGACACACAGAGACACAGAGACACACAGAGACAGAGACACACACAGAGACACAGACACACACAGAGACACAGACACACACAGAGACACAGACACACAGAGACACAGACACACACAGAGACACAGACACACACAGAGACACAGACACACACAGAGACACACACAGAGACACAGACACACACAGAGACACATACAGAGACACACACAGAGACACAGAACACACACAGAGACACAGACACACACAGAGACACAGAGACACACGCAGAGACACAGAACACAGAGACACGGACACACACAGAGACACAGACACACACAGAGACACACACAGACACACACAGACACACACAGAGACACACAGACACACACAGAGACACACACACAGAGACACAGACATACACAGAGACACGCACAGAGACACACAGAGACAGAGACACACACAGAGACACAGACACACACAGAGACACAGACACACACAGAGACACAGACACACAGAGACACACACACAGACACACACAGAGACACAGACACACACAGACACACAGAGACACGCGCGCTGAGCCCAGGGGCACGGTCTCCTCCTCCTCCCTGCAGTCAGTAGAGCCACACACTCGGTGAACAGGGGTGGGGGGGGAGGGTCTGTGGACAGAGTGGGGGGGGGGGGGGGACCCCCACAGGAGACCAAGCGGCGCGGTTCGATTCTAGACCCCCCGGGGGGGGGGGGTGCGGTGCGCGCCTGACACGGAGACTCGCTAACGCGATTGTGTTTTTCGCGTTCTCTGAATTCGAGTTTACTTCCACGGCTGCACTTTGTTATCGCCAAGTCGCTTTTGTCGTTTTGGTGACCCGGGTCACTCTGGCGAGCGAGGACCTCTCCTGACCCCCCCCTCCCCCCACCGGGTTTCTCACCCGATTCGACAAACATCCAACTCGGAACTCGTCTCGGTTCATAATGGCCTCCTCCAAGGAATGCGTGTGCACGTGCGCGCGCGTGCGCGTGTGTGATCATGTAGTGGGGAGCGGTGGTGTAGCGGTTAGCGCGCTGCGCTATGAACCCGGCGACCCGAGTTCGATTCACCGCTCACGGCCAACACCGGTGACGATTATTTGAACCGGTTCTGGGCCTCCTCTAGGTCGACTCAGCACAAAATGAGCACCTGGTGTGATGTTTAAACGCTGCTGCGGAGACAAAGGCGGCCGGGCGTGGTGTTGGCCACCCACCCCCTCGTGTGCCGTGCTGGCCATCATTGGTGCGCGCTATGAGCTCTTGCCCCAACAGTCTGTTAAGGCTATACGGGAGATCTTTCTATTATGTCTGTGTGCGTGTGGGGGGTGTTAGCCACTGCTCATGTGCGTGTGCGTCTGTTTGCGCGTGTCTGTGTGCGCGTGTCTGTGTGCGTGTGTGTGTGTCTGTCCGTGTGCGTGTATGTGTGTCTGCGTGCATCTCGCTCCGGCCTTCGTAGGTGCTCGCTAACGGCACTTGCCTCAGTCTGTTAAAGGCTACACGGGGGATCTTTGTCTCTGCGATGCGACTCCGCAACTCCGTGTGAGACGCGCGCCCCACGTGTCCCCAGACCTCCCGCAAAACATCAACCCGAGCCCCTGACAGGGTCCCAACGACTCGACCCCCTCCTCTGGGGGCGGGGCCCCCCTCCTTCCAAAAGAGCCCCCCTCTTCCTACACCCCTGCGTGCGGACCCGCCCGCCACCCCCGCTAGAGGGAGAGGGGGGGGATGGAGAGGGAGTGGAGTGAACAAGGGGAGTTAGGGGGAGCTGGGAGCGAGGTCCTTTTCAGGTGGGGAAGGTGGTTAGGGAATTTGCGGGGGGGGGGGGGGTACCCCCCTCTCCCTTGTCAAAGCGGTGCGGGGGAGGAGGGGTGGGCCCGCGCGGTTGCTAGGCTACGGCTGGAGGCCGCCATGTATCCAAGGTAACGCCGTGGACCGGGTCCGCGGGCCCGGCGCGAGCCCCACGCGCGCGCACACGCGGCACCTGCCCCGGGGGGGCGCGCGCACCTGTGTTGTGTGCACGCGCGCGCACGCGCACGCACGCGCGCGCGCGCGCAGCAAACCGAACACTCCCATTGGGCACCGCGAGCAAGCGGACTGACTCGTCGCCGTGGTAACCAACACTACCGCCGTTGCCCTAGCGACGCGGAGAAGGCGAGGGACCCGGTGGATATGGAGAGGAGACAGAGGGGGGTGGGAGAGACGTAGGTGATGGGAGACGCGGGGAGGGGAGATGGGAGGTGGACACACGGGGAGGGGAGACGCAGAAGTGGGAGACGCAGGGACGGGACACACGGCGAGGGGAGACGCAGGGAGGGGAGACGCAGGGCAGTGAGACATGGGGAGGGGAGAGGGTCCCGCCACGGGCATCGATTTTGGAAATCGATTCGCACTCGAGGAACCGATTCCGTACAGAACAGGGCTTCTCTGCCGACGGGACACGTGACCTCCTCATCTGCCTTGCCCCCCTCCCACCTCCTCCCGCCCCTTGTACTACTGGCGCCTTAAGGATGGGGACACTGCGAGTCTGTGGAGGGTCAAGCGGGGTGCGTGAGGGGGGGGGGTAGTAGGGGTCTCTGATGCACGACTGGGCGCACTCATCCACGATTAACCCGGCGAAGCCAATTAGCGACCAATTACCACCCAGCGCCTCCTTCTGCCTCAATGAGCAGTGGGGCGTGGGTGCACGCGTGTGTGCGTGCGCTGGGGGATCACACACGCGCACACAGATACACTCACAGATATACACACAGGTATATACACACATACTCACAGATATATACACACATACTCACAGATACACACACAGGTACACACACAGATACATACACACATACTCACAGATACAAACATACAGATACACACACACATACACACAGACACACTCACAGATACATACAAACACATTCACAGATACACACGTAGATACATACACACATATACAAACATACAGATAGACACACATACACACAGATATACTCACAGATACACACACATACACACAGACACATACAGACACTCAAATATACATACACAGATACATAGACACATTCACAGATACATACACACAGGTACATGCAGACATACTCACAGATACACACACAGATACATACACGCATACAGATACACACAGATACACACTAACAGATACACACAGACACTCACAGATACACACACAGATACACTCACAGATATACAAACAGATACATACAGACACACTCACAAATACACCCACATATACACACAAACAAACTCACAGATACACAAACAAACACTCACAGATACACACAGATACATACAGACACACTCACAGATACACACACAGATAGATAGATAGATACAGACACACTCACAGATACATACAAACACACTCACAGACACACACACAAACACACTCACATACACACACAAACACACTCTTCAGATACACACAAACACACAGATAGATACAGACACACTCACAGAGACATTCACACACGTACACACAGATACACGCATACACAGATACACTCACAGACACATTTCCACAGATACATGAATGCATGCACACACAAACACCCATTCACGTCCACACCCACACACGCGTTAGCCTTAATAGACCGCTGGGGCAAGTGCTGTTAGCGAGCACCAATGAAGGTCAGCACGGTACACGAGGGGGTGGGTGGCCAGCACCACGCCCGGCCGCCTTTGTCTCCCCAGTGGCGATGTTTACACACCGCACCAGGTACTCATTTGACGACCAAGAGGAGGCCCAGGACCGCTTCAGATAATCGCCGTGAGCGGGACTCGAACTCGGGTCGCCGGGTTCGTAGCGCAGTGCGCTAACCACTACACCACCGCTCCCCACTACCGCATGCACACACGCCCACACACAAAGACAAAGACAAAGATCCCCCGTATAGCCTTAATAGACTGTAGGGGCAAGTGCTGTTAGCGAGCACCTATGAAGGCCGGAACGGTACACGAGGGGATGGGTGGCCAGCATCACGCCCGACCGCCTTTGTCTCCCTAGTGGCGATGTTTACACACCGCACCAGGTACTCATTTGAGGCTGAGTCGACCTAGGGGAGGCCCAGGACCGGATCAGATAATCGTCACTGGCGTTGGCCGTGAGCGAGAATCGAACTCGTGTCGCCGGGTTCATAGCGCAGCGCGCTAACCGCTACACACACACATACGTACACACGCGCACACACGTGCACACACACGCGCACACACACACACGCACACACACACACGCGCACACACACGCGCGCACACGCGTGCACACCTGCCGCTACCATCAACGGATCCAGCTCCGCTCGATTGCAGTGGCAGGGGGAGAGGCGGGGGCGAGGGAATAACATCACGGGGAGGGGGTTGGGTCCGTCAGTCCCCATACCCCGCAGGTCGTAGGGTCACCATTAAACACCCTCGCGTGCCCCCTCCTCCTCCAGGCATGGCGAGCTTGAGTGACTCCTACAAATATCTGGATGTCCTCCTCCTGAACATCATCATCAGCGTGGCCAAAGCCGCTGATGCCACCACCCCCTCGCAAGAACCCACAGCTGCTGCTGCTGCTACTGCAGAAGCAGCGACCTCTTGGATCTGCCCTGACCGTCTCATCCCGGCATCTGCTCTGAGACTCACACAGTGACCCGTAGAGTCACAGAGAGACGCCTAAACCCACGCCGGAGACCCACAGGGAAACCCGTAGCTCTGCCCCCACCACCACCCGGTCCCAGGTCTCCTTTTTCCCTTTGAATGGTCGGACGCGTGGAGACCACTCCACTGTGGGTCTCGGTAACCGGCCCTATCCCATGCCGCCCGTCACTCAACTCAGCGATGATGTCACCCCCCCCCCTCTCTCTCACCCCCTCCCCCATCCCATCGAGGGGGATTGCGTCGCTGCGGTCAGGATTGGGGAGGGTTCGGTTTGCTGCTGCGCGTGACACAAAGGTCGCGGGGGAGCTTGGGGGGCAGGAGTGGGGGGGGGGGGGGTCGGGTGTTAGGGGTAGGCACAAGCACGAAAGGGGCAAGGAGTGGGGGGGTGTGGAGCGGGATGGGGGGTAGAGGCCCGGGTAGGAGAGCCTGGGATGTCGAGGGGATGGTCGGAAGGAACTCGGGAGCAAGAGGATTGCGTTCGGGGGTAGGGTGGTTAGGGGGGGACATTGTGGGGTGGGAGGGGAGGGCGGGGGGGATAGAGGGCTAGGGGTGGGGAAGGAGTTGGGGGGGGGGGGGCTTCGGTGACGTGCGCGCGCGCGTGTGCCCCCTCGCCGTGTACCTTGCTGCATGAGAGCTCCGACGCCAAACCAGAAACTGTTTAGCAGCGTGAAGTTATTCTCCACCACGTCCGAGTCCGGGTTGCACGGGTGCGGGTTGTACCACTCGTACGGGCTGAACCTGCGGTGCGGGACCACCCACACGCCCCACCCGAGTGGGGAGGGGGGGGGGTGGTGGAGCACAGGTGAGCTCAGGTGGAGCACAGGTGGAGCATAGGTGAGCTCAGGTGAGCTCAGGTGAGCTCAGGTGAGTCGTCCGGCGCGCGGGGGGTTCCGGCTCCGCCACCTGCAAGGCGTTCTCGCAGAGTCGCTCTCTCAACACGCACAGACAAAGATCCCCCCGTGTAGCCTCAGCAGACTGTTGGGGTTCGTGCTTTTAGCGAATGGCACCTATAAAGCCCCGCACGGCACACGAGAGGGGGGTGGGTGGCCAGCACCACGCCCGGCCTCCTTTGTCTCCCCAGTGGCGATGTTTACGCACGGCGCACAAAGCTACCGATTTGAGTCTTAGTCGACCTAGTGGAGGCACAGGTCCGGTTGTGATAATCTTCACAGGCGTTGGCCGTGAGCGAGAATCGAACTCGGGTCGAACGGATTCGCGGTGCGTACGGTGCGCCGCGCACAACTCTCAGTCTCGCACAAAGCGGCGGCGCTTGTGCCAGGCTAGGTGCACATTGAGGCCGCGTCACGAGCGGCGGTCTCGCTCGCTGCTGGAGGCCCCGTGGCGCCTTCAGATCGAGCTAAAGGCACAACCCCTGGAAATGCTCCGCTCACGCCACTGCTGGAGGAAGGGCCCCCCATGCGAGAGGGAGGTTCGGGTGGACCCCCTCCGCTTGGCCGTGCGTCTTGGAGGCGTCGGGATCGCCCCCGCACTTCACTTCACCCTCACCGCACGCGACTCCGTCGAAACACGCAAACAAAGAGGCGTGGTGGTGGTGGTTACACGCTTCACGAACCCGATGATTGGCGAGATCTTTCCACCTCGCCGTGAATCGTTGCTCTCTGCGTCACGTGGCAAAACCCCGCGCGGAGTTTCGCGATCTAAATTAGAATCGGCGCTCCTCCGCGTCACGCGCGCCCATATCAACCATCAGGCGCGTGCAGCGTGTAACAGCTACAATTTGCTGGCGCGTCTCCCGCTACGCGCGCCGCCGTTATCGCGGAAACGTGAAAATTGACAGCTAAGGAGCCCCTAGGCGGATCACCCCCCCCCCAGCCCCCACGGATCTCCGCTCCCCGTCCGCCTTTGTCTCTCTCTCTCTCTGTCACGCGAGGCTAAACGTGCTGCGCTCTGTGGGTCGCGGCGCCGATAACGCGACGAGGACGGGGAGGCGGGTCCTACTATCTCTCCACAGCACGCGGCCATAGCGCGTGTTAGGGGGAGGGACGGGGGGGGGGGGTCCTGCGGACGTAAAGCGGCTCCTGCCTCGCCCCTCACGGCGCCCCCGTTGTGAGTCGAGCGAATTGGAGCCCCCCCCCCCCCCGACCGCCCGGACTGTGGGAGTGATGTCCGCTGTAAGTGGTGAACTACGGAGTTTGAGATCGAGTGTGTTCCACCTCGCCCCCCCGCCCCCCACCCCCCGCCCCCCGACCTCGCCCACCTCTCCCCTCCAGGTGTACCTTGGTGCGAGTTTCACTCACCTGAGCTGAAGAGAGGGAGGTGGGGGTGAGAGGGAAGAGGGGGGAAGGGTAATGCCCGAGACCAGGTTGCATGTTCTGCCGCGGCTCCGATAACAGCTGTGCGCTATGGGCGAGAGCCCCTCCCCTCACCCCCCTGGCCACCCCCTCCCCCCACGTGCACGAGCGGGCACACGTACACACACGCGCACGTATACTCACTGTCACACACCACACACAGCCACCCCCCCCCCCGTATAGCCTGGAACAGACTGTTGGGGCAAGTGCTGTTAGCGAGCACCTATGAAGGCCGGTACGGTACACGAGGGGTGGGTGGCCAGCCCCACACCCTTACCCACACACACCCCACCACCCCCTCACACACACACCCCATTACACCCTCACCCACATACACCCCATTACACCCTCACCCACACACACCCCCATCACACCTACACCCACACACACCCCACCACACACCCCATTACACCCTCACCCACACACACCCCCATCACACCCTCACCCACACACCCCCCATCACACCCTCACCCACACACACCCATCTCACTCACACCCTATCACACTCTCACCCACACACACCCCCATCACACCCCTCACCCACACACACCCCCATCACACCCTCACCCACACACCCCCCCATCACACCCTCACCCACACACACCCCATCTCACCCACACCCTATCACACTCTCACCCACACACACCCTCATCACACCCCTCACCCACACACACCCCCATCACACCCCTCACCCGCAGTCTCACTCTCGCCCCCTCGTGTGGCGCGCTATACACCAAAGGTTACTCGCTTCTTATATCCGACATTAACTCCGCGCCTGGGTCATTAATCACAGTGACGGCGATGGGGGGGGGGGGGCAATGCGTGAGAGGGGCGGGGGGTGGATTGGCAGGGGGGGGGGGCATGAGTTTGGCTCGGAGATGAAATGTGGTCACTCGACGCGACTCCTCGACTCTCTCACGCAATCCCTCACTCACTCTCTCTCTCTCATGCTCTCTCTCTCATGCTCTCTCTCTCATGCTCTCTCACGCACGAAATATCTCACGCTCTCTCTCACTCTCTTCTCACGCAGCTCTCACTCACTCCCTCTCTCGTTCTCTCTCTCACGCAACTCTCACGCACGCTCTCACGTAATCTCTCTCTCACGCGCTCTCTCTCATGCTCTCACGCACGAAATATCTCACGCTCTTCTCACGCAGTTCTCACTCTCTCCCTCCCTCGCTCTCTCTCTCATGTTCTCTCACGCAACTCTCACGCACGAAATCTCTCACGCTCTCTCACTCTCTTCTCACGCAGCTCTCACTCACTCCCTCTATCACGCTCTCTCATTCTATCTCTCACGCAACCTCCCACTCTCTCTCCTCTAACGCAGCTCTCACGCACGCACAGTCAATGTGTGTGGGGGGGGGGGGTAGGAGGAATTGAGTGCTGTTAGCGAGCATCTATTTAAGGCCAGCACAGCACACGAGGACGATGGTGTGGCCAGCACCACCCCCTGCGCTGATGTTTTTCACTCCAGCGGCAGGTATTTATTTAAGTCTGGGTCGACCTAGGGGGGGGGGGTCCAGGACCAGTTCAGACGTTCGTCACTGATGTTGGTCGTGAGCGGGACTCGAACTCGTCTCGCTGACTTAACCGCTTTGCTGCCGCTCCCCACGCACAGACACAACAAAGACAAAGATCCCCCGTATAGCCTTAGCAGACTGTAGGGGCAAGTGCTGTTAGCGAACACCTATGAAGGCCGGAACGGTACACGAGGGGGTGGGTGGCCAGCACCACGCCCGACCGCCTTTTTATCCCTAGTGGCAATGTTTACACACCGCACCAGGTACTCATTTGAGGCTGAGTCGACCTAGGGGAGGCCCAGGACCGGTTCAGATAATCGTCACTGGTGTTGGCCGTGAGCGGGAATCGAACCCGTGTCTCCGGGTTCATAGCGCAGCGCGCTAACCGCTACACTACCGCTCCCCACAGACACACTTACACACACACTTACGCACACACTTACGCACACACTTACGCACGCACAGACACACACACACTTACACACACTCTCACTCTCTCGCACGTTAAGTGACCACTCAGAGATACGCGCTCACACCCTCCCTCCATCCTCCCTTACCCCCACCCCTCCCCATCCCTCCTTCCCCTTCCAAGGTCTAATTAAGGATCTGCTAGCGAGGAAATGGGCGGCGAGAGGTACACGTGGAGAGAGAGAGAGAGGAGGAGGGGTAGACAGACAGAGAGAGAGGGTAGCGGTGGTGAGGGTGTATTTATATTCTGAGTGGTGTTCCCGTTAAATGGGCATCGACACTTTGCTGCTGGTCCTCCGGTTCACAGCCCTGCAGAGCCCAAGTGGTGGAAATTCCACATTCCTGTGGCGGTGGCGGCCGCGGCGACGGTGCAGGGGGGGGGGAGAGTCTCTCTACAGGACGACTATTGTTGACTTCGCTACAAAGTGGTAGCTATTTTGTCGACCGCGGAGAAAGGGAGGGATGGATGATTGGCCGAATCAACCCAGCAACCAGGGTTTGAACTCGCGAACTTTCCGATAAAAAAATAAAATATGTATATATATAATAAAAAATAATAATGGGATAATCCACGGCAGGATGACCATACTTCACCACGCTGGTTAATGTGTGTTGGCGTAGAGGTGCGGTGCCCAGGATCCTGTCCAGATACCACTCGCTACGCCACTGATGTTAGCCGTGTCTGGGAATTGAACTCGAATATGGATCGGGGGGTGGCCAGTGGCGGGGGGGGGGGGGGTATTACACTGGTCAACACACTTTTTCTGGCATAAGGTATTCCAACGGTTTAAGGTAATTTTGGGGTGCTGATTCCAAATCTGGCATCAGTTTTTGTCCATCACATCAGGTTTTTGAGATATCAAATATTGCATTTTCAATAAAAACTGTCGAAGAAAAATATTAAATAAATGTGTATATCTACATAAAATGATATTATAAACACACTATCCTAAAATTACAGCACCATATTTTAACACTAAAGCAGTCACTGACTCGCAACAACTTGCAATCATAAGTGACAGAGTTAATTTCGGATAAAATCAATGAAAATGGGGTATGCCGATAGCATACAAATGAGATGTGATAGAGCAAATCTGAGATCAGATTTGGAATCGGCACCCTGAAATTAGTCTAAAACAGCTGCAAAAGTCCAGGCCAGAATTTTTATTTTTTTTGCTGACCAGTGTAATAGAGGGGGAGTTCAGCGGAGAGCCTCAGAGAGAGAGAGAGAGATCTGGAGCCTGGGTTGGTCGGTCGAGAGAGGGTTAGTGAGAGTATCGGTCAGAGAGAGAGAGAGAAGCGTTCGAGAGGGTAGAGGGGAGAGCCGGGGAGAGCAGCACCGTTACCTGGCGATGACAAACAGCACACAGCTGACACCTAAGCAGGCGAGCAGAATATACATCCAGATATCGGGCGAGAGCGGATTGAGGAATGAGAAGACGCCGGGATTGGTGCCGTTGGGCTTCCGATACAGGATGCTGATGCCCAGGGTCATGAAGGGCTTCGAGAAGTCGATGACCTTCTCACGCACGTAGGTGATGGTCAGCGGGGCCACGGCAAGGTCGGCCTTCTGTGGTGGGAGAGGGGGGGGCAGGGGCGGGGCAGAGGGAGGGGGGGCAGAGGTTTAGGGGGGGGTGCACGGTTGTGTGGAGGATTTGACGAATCTCGTCGGATGGTTTGTCCACGTCGATTTTGAGCGCTCCCCCCCCCTTCCCACTCCCTCCCCAGCGAAGGTTCAGAGCGATTATAATTAAAGAGCGCGGGCGAGTGGGTGGGTGGGAGATGCGAGTCGGTGTGTGTGTGTAGGTTGGAGATGCAAATCGTTGTGTGTGTGTGTAGGTTGGAGATGCGAGTCGGTGTGTGTGTGTAGGTTGGAGATGCGAGTCGGTGTGTGTGTGTAGGTTGGAGATGCGAGTCGGTGTGTGTGTGTAGGTTGGAGATGCGAGTCGGTGTGTGTGTGTGTGTAGGTGAGAGATGCGAGTCAGTGGGTGTGTGTAGGTTGGAGATGCGAGTCGGTGTGTGTGTGTAGGTTGGAGATGCGAGTCGGTGTGTGTGTGTAGGTTGGAGATGCGAGTCGGTGTGTGTGTGTGTAGGTTGGAGATGCGAGTCGGTGTGTGTGTGTAGGTTGGAGATGCGAGTCGGTGGTGTGTGTGTAGGTGAGAGATGCGAGTCAGTGGGTGTATGTGTGTGTGTGTAGGTGAAAGTGCGAGTCGGTGTGTGTATGTGTGTGTGTGTAGGTGGGAGATGCGAGTCGATGGGTGTGCGTGTGAGGCTGGGCATCATCTCCCGCTATCTCTAATTGGGATCTGCTCGTTACCGGCAATGGCATCGCGCCCCGGGCCCCGCGCGCCCTATCGATCACGGCCAATGGGGGCACCAGCCCCCCCCCCGCTCTCTCCGGGCCCTGCCCCCCTCTCTGCCCCCCTCCCTGCCCCCCCCCCAAGCCCCCCTGCCCCCCCCTGCCGTACCAAGGTCCCTTCTATTCGAATCTATTTCGGATTTATAAAGCGGTGGTGGCGGCCACGCTGCACGCGGCGACTGTGGCCCAGCATCGTGGAGGCACCAGCAGCAGCAGCAGCGGCGGCAGCGGCCGAGGGTTGATGGATCACGACTACCAACCTCCCGCCACCCAAACAACTCCCCTCCCTTCCCCGTGGGGTGGGCTTCGAGGTGGGAGGCGAACCCTGTTCGGCAACAGTGTGGAGCAAAGTGCCACAGCGTGATCATCCTGTGTTGTTCGCTCCCTCGCACGCAACGCGGCGGGCTTTCTCCGGGGTCCTCAGCCTCAAATAAGTACCTGGCGCGGTGTGTAAACATCGCCACTGGGGAGATAAAGGCGGTCGGGCGTGGTGCTGGCCACCCACCACGCTCGTGTGCCGTGCCGGCCTTCGTACGTGCTCGCTAACAGCACTTGCCCCAGTAGTCTGTTGAGGCTATACGGGGGATCTTTGTCTTTTTTTATGCGAGTCGGTGTGTGTGTGTAGGTATGAGATGTGAGTCGGTGGGTGCCCCTCTACCCCCCTCCCCCCACCCGAAAGCCCCCGCCAGCCCCCCCCCCACCACCACCCCCTTGAGAGTCCGCAGATTGGAAATGTATTGATATTTACCAGAGAACACACATTGAATGTTGTGTTTGATTAATGCGGGCCCCTATTGGAAGAGCTCGACATTCGGGAGGTTTCTACATCCGCCAGTTCGGCGGTTGTGGTGGTGATTGTGGTGGTGACTGTGGTTGTGACTGAGTATTGTGAAGCTGATTTTTGATTATGCTAATTGCTGTCATTATGACGAGCTCGCGCGCCGTGCCCCACGTGTCCCCCGCGCGGTGTCACCCACGTGGTCCCCCACGTGTCCCCCGCGCGGTGTCACCCACGTGGTCCCCCACGTGTCCCCCGCGCGGTGTCACCCACGTGGTCCCCCACGTGTCCCCCGCGCGGTGTCACCCACGTGGTCCCCCACGTGTCCCCCGCGCGGTGTCACCCACGTGGTCCCCCACGTGTCCCCCATGCGGTGCTACTCACGTGGTCCATGAGTTCGCGCACCATTCCGTTCCACTGGCCGTGCTCGTTCTGGGCGCCGTACTTGCCGTCGCCCACGAGGTGGACGTCGTAGGTGAATTTCAGGATGTTGGCGAGCTCGCGGAGCAGGTCGATGCAGTAGCCCTCGAACCGCTCGTTGCCGTACAGCGGCTTGTCCGACTTCTTGTACATCACGTACGGGTCCTCCTGCCGGCGGCGGTGTCGGCAAACGTTTTAAAAAGGAAAACAAAGATGCAGAATCGTTCCCGTTTTAAAATAAACAGCGAGGCATCGGTGCTCATCTCCCGTCCACAGCCCTGCAGAAGCAGTAGTCTGGAAATTCCACGTTCCTATTAGTGGGGGGGGGGGGGGGGGGGGTGGAGGGGGCGGCTGTGGGCAAGTCCATCCATTTCACAGCCACTATCGACTTCCCCCAAAGTGGTGCCCGTTTTGCGAGCTTTAATCGACCCTCGGAGGGAGGGTCGATGATGGGCCGAGTCAACCCCCCAAAGCGGGATTTGACCTCGCGGACCGCTCGCTCCCCCGCGGGGCCGCCTCGAGAGCGGGGGGAGCGGTGCGCCGGGCGCGGTGGGGAACGGTGGGACGCGTGGTGGCCACCGTTGGGACGCGTGGTGGGCACCGGTGGGACGGGCGGTGGGCACCGGTGGGACGGGCGGTGGCCACCGGTGGGACGCCTGGTAGGCACCCGTCTGACACGTGGTGGGCACCCGTGTGACACGTGGTGGGCACTGGTGGGACGGGCGCAAGGGTCGCGGTGCCGCACCCACCAGGATGGTGGTGACCGCGAGCGAGCGGTTGGAGATGATGTCGCTGGCGTTGCCGGCGCGCTCCTTGCGCCCGTCCGTCATGTTGAGCCCCGCGGACGGGTCCCACGTGCCGATCTGGGGGGCCACGGGCGGGGGGGAACACGGAGGAGAGTGTCACCACGGGGATTGGTTGCCACGCGATGGATTACTATGGGGTTGGGTTACCATGGGGATGGGTTACCATGGGGATTAGTTACCAGGGGGATGGGTAATCAGGGGAATTGGTAACCATGTGGATGGATTACCATGGATATGCGTTGCCATTGATGAGTTTCCAGGAAGGGAAGTTACCATGGGGATATGTATCCAAGGAGATCGGTTACCATGGAGATAGGTCATCATGGAGATTAGTTAACATGGGAAGGTGTTACCATGGGAATGAGTTACGGTTTTAACATAGAGATTGGCGGTAATGGGAATGAGTTACCTTGGATATGGGTTACTATGAATGGAAGTTACTTCTGGGGATGCGTTAACATGCATTGCATTTACGTGGAGATGAGCGACCATCACGACGAGTTACCATGGAGAAGAGCAGTTGCCCACGGGGATATTTACAACAACGAAGCGCACAGAGACACGCGTGATGAAGACACGTGGAGACACACATGATGAAGACACGTGGGAGACACGTGGGAGACACGTGTTCGCATGATGGATTATGTATGACACCTGCAAAGATGAAGCATCGCGTTTCCCATCGGGGCTCAGAGAGCGTGGACGGGGGGGGGGGAGAGAGGGAGGGAGCGAGCGAGAGAGCGAGCGAGCGAGGGTTACATAAAAAAAAAATTACGAAATGATGAACGAAACAAAGTGCCGAATACACCGAGCATCTTCTTGTTTCCACTGATCGTAAAAAAAAGAGAGGGAGGGGATGGAGGGGGAGGAGGTGGGGAGAGAAAGAGAGAGGGAGGGAGGGGGCAGAAAGATCGAGGTAGAGAAGGGGGAGGGTGGGGGATCAGGATGAGGTGGGTGAGGGTGGATGGGGGAGCATGGGGTGGGAGCGGATTGATGGAGGGGTGCACGTGAAGAGGAGGCGGCGGCGCGGGGGGGCAGGGGAGATTATAGGGGACTCGTAGACATTTCCTGAAGGAGGTCTGAAGTTCGAAACGTCGAAGCTGTGGTCTCCCAGACGAGACGCAGTCATCAGGTGGGTAGAGGCAAAGTCACGGCGAACGATCTGTAGCCGAGTAGCAGCGATGTCAAACGAATTGTCGTCATGAGCCATGAGCTATTCACTGCTGGATGAATCCCCCACCTCCCCTCCCATCACCATATCTCACGATCCGCCGGCGGGACAATCAATTTGACCCCCCGCGCGCGCGAGATGATTGTATCGCTCTGTCTCCACGGGTGCGACTCCGTGGGATGGCGTCTGCATTTAGACGCAGGGTATAGAAATTCGGTTTAACACATCGCACGGCTTTCGTGACCAATATGATCCATAATAGAGTTTTGTTGTTGTTGTTAGATCGCGTAAATATAAATGTGCCGTTAACCCAGTCGGTTTACCCTGCCGGGGTAGGTGGCGGGTTTAATATTTATGTACGTGATCTAAGCCAATAAAACCTCTATTATGGAAACAACATTAAAATTGTGTCGTTTGGCCTCGCACGCACACACACTGACGTCCAGTTGCATTGCTCGCTGTGTGTTCTCTATGTCACGTGTCCCTCTCTCTGGCTGTCTGTCCGAGTGATCCCCTCTGAGCCACGTGTCTCTCTCTCTGGCTGTCTGTCCGTGTGATCCCCTCTGAGTCACGTGTCTCTCTCTCTCTGGCTGTCTGTCCGAGTGATTCCCTCTGAGCCGCGTGTCTCTCTCTCTGGCTGTCTTTCAACGCTTCTTTATGCGTACTCTCCAACATTGTTGTAAATGTCCACAATGCTGATCTGCACGTCACAGCGGACATCATCGTCTTCATCATCACGCAGACAACCAAGAAAAATTACTCGAAAAAACTCCAACACGTTCGTCGGTAACAACACCATGGTGGACTGAAAAGAAAACGTATAACAGGCGACGTTTCGGGCTATGGGCCTTCTTCACAGCACACAGACAGAGATCCGCCCAGCAGAGTCGAAGATGAGCGAGAGGAGAAGGGGCTGGGCCAGGAGCCTTCACGGCGAGAGGAGACGGAGCAATGATGATTATGATGGTAATGATGATGGTAATGATGGTAATAATGATGGTAATGATGATGGTAATAATGATGGTAATAATGATGGTAATGATGATGGTGATGATGGTAATAATGATGGTAATGATGATGGTGATGATGGTAATAATGATGATAATGATGATGGTGATGATAGTAATAATGATGGTAATGATGATGGTGATGATGGTAATAATGATGGTAATGATGATGGTGATGATGGTAATAATGATGGTAATGATGAAGGTGATGATGGTAATAATGATGGTAATGATGATGGTAATAATGATGATGGTGATGATGGTGGTGGTGGTAATGATGATGATGTTGAGATCAGCTCGCGTGCACGAGGGTAGATCTCTGTCAGACCGCAGGATGGCGAGAGGTACCCGGGGACGATTTGGGGACAGCCTTCACCCAGCAGTGGATAGATCATGGCTGATGACGCTGGCGAAGTCGCTAATATCCACACAACTCTCTCTATATACCGGGGTTTCGCTCAGGGCGATGATTATCTGCACGGATGATGATGATGATGCGCGTCTTCTTGGGAGTCCCAACTACGCGTTGAGCGAGATGGGAGGAGGGGTTTGTGGGGTCTGCGGAGGGAGGGAGGGTACGGGGGAATTCACCCCCCCCCCTCCCTCATCCCCATTGCTGCGCACCCCTCGCCCCGGGCAGGCAGACTGATGATGTGTTTAAAGTTATCATCGGATAAGCTTTGTCGGGAGAAACTCATAAAGAGCGCATCGATAGCGCGTAAAGCGCTAACGCACGTACAGGAGAGAGAGGGCGCGTGGGGCGAGAGAGGGAGAGAGAGTGTGACAGGGAGAGCGAGACCGGGAGAGAAACAGAGAGAGAGGAAACGATAGAGAGGCACAGAGGGAGACAGGGAGAGAAAGCGTAAAATATGTTGTGAAATCTTTCATTTAAAAGGAGGCGGGGGGCACATAAAGCAAAGCATTGGAAAAAAAACAACGAAATGATGAACGAAGAAAAGTGCCGACTACACCGAGCATCTTCTTGTTTCCTCTGATCGTACGACAAAAGAAAGAGGAAACGAGAGACGGAAAGAGAGAGAGGGCACGAGGGGCGAGAGAGGAAGGGAGAGCGAGACACAGCGAGACAGAGGGAGACAGACAGAGAGAGAGAGAGAAATGAAACGAGAGACAGAGAGACGGGCAGGGAGAGAGAGAGAGAGTGGCGCGCTGTGTCATTTGCGGGGAGCCTCATCCCGACGCCTCCACGGCCGTGACAGCAGCAGCAGCATCGGGCTGGCAACTCCGGGGCGTGAGAACAACAACGGTGATGGAACTGGGATCTTCCGTGAGACTCTCAACGAGTCCTCCCCCCACCCTCCATCCCCCATCCCCCCACCCTCCATTCCACCCCCCCTCCCTCCCAGGATGAGACGATCACGAGCCAAGCGTGACGAACGGCGTTCAGTAGAGGGGGGTGGGGAGGCCGCTTTCCTGCTGCCCGCATTGCCCAGCACGCACGAACCAGGTGGAGTGTGCTCATCCAGCAGTGGATTGGGGCTCAGGGGCTTTGTGTGCGGTGTACCCACACGCCCCCCCCCCACGCACCCCCCCACGCCCCCCCCCCCACGCACCCCCCCTCCCCACCTCCCATCGATAGCGGCAGAGACGGAGCAATGAGCGATATCAGCAGCGCGGAGATAACAGCGAGGGGCGGGGTAGGGGAGGAGGGGGGGGGAGAAATAGGAAATCCGTGGAAGTGCCCGGAGCGCAGATTCTACGTATTCCAGATGCACATGCCACGCGTATACACACATGTAACATGTGCGCACATGTAACAGAAGCAGCCGCAATAACAAAAGCCGCCATTCGCCACGAAGTGATGGTGTCACAGCGCCTGTGCCAGGCTAGGTGCACTTTAAGGCCGGTACGTGTTGAGTGTGGACTGTGGAAGTCTCTCGCTGCTGCTGGCAGGAGGCCGTCACGGGAGAGACCCAGGTGCTATAGGTTGGATAACTGGCCGAGGGAGAGGCACAGATATTCGTCGCCGGTGTTGGCCGTAAGTGGGAATTGAACTCGCGTCGCCGGGTTAGCAACGCAGTGTGCTAACCAATCCGCCACCGCTCCCCACTTACACACGTACACACATATTTACACACTTAGACACACATACACAGTTACACGGATACAAATACAAAGATCCACCGAATAGCCATTAACAGGTATTGTGGCCACCCACCCCCTCGTCCGCCGAAATGGCGGACGAGGGGGTGGGTGGCCAGCACCACGCCCGGCCGCCTTTGTCTCCCCAGTGGCGATGTTTACACACCGCACCAGGTACTCATTTGAGGCTGAGTCGACAGAGACACACACATAGAGGCACACATACAGAGACACTATAAAGACAAAGATCCCCCGTGTAGCCTTAACAGACTGTAGGGGCAAGTGCTGTTAGCGAGCACCTATGAAGGCCGGAACGGTACACGAGGGGGTGGGTGGCCAGCACCCCGCCCGACCGCCTTTGTCTCCCTAGTGACAATGTTTACACACCGCACCAGGTACACACACACAGAGATACACACACAGAGACAGACACACACAAACACAGAGACACACACACAGAGACACACACACACAAAGACACACACAGAGACAAACACATAAACACAGACATATACACACACAGACACACACACAAAGACAAACATACACACAGAGACACACACAGAGACACACACAGAGACACACACACAGAGACACACACACAGAGACACACACACAGAGACAAACACATAGAAACACACATAGACACACACACAGACACACACACAGAGACAAACATACACACAGAGACACACACACAGAGACACACACACAGAGACACACACACAGAGACACACACACAGAGACACACACACAGACACACACACAGAGACAAACACATAGAAACACACATAGACACACACACACAGAGACAGACACAAACACACAGACACACAAACACACACACAACGACACACACACAGAGACACACACACACAGACACACAAAGACACACACACAGACAAACACATAAACACAGACATATACACACACACAGACACACACACAGACAAACATACACACAGAGACACACACACACAGAGACACACACACAGAGACACACAGAGACACACACACAGACACACACACAGAGACAAACACATAGAAACACACATAGACACACACACACAGAGACAGACACACACAAACACACAGACAGACACACACAGACACACAGACACACAAACACACAGACAGACACACACACAGACACACACACACACAGACACACACACAGAGACAAACACATAGACACACACATAGACACACACACACAGAGACAGACACAAACACACAGACAGACACACAAAAACACACACACAGAGACACACACACACAGACACACACACAGAGACACACACACAGACACACACACAGAGACACACACACAGACACACACACAGAGACACACACACAGAGACACACACACAGACACACACACAGAGACAAACACATAGACACACACATAGACACACACACACAGAGACACACACACAGAGACACACAGAGACACACACACAGACACACACACAGAGACAAACACATAGAAACACACATAGACACACACACAGAGACAGACACACAAACACACAGACAGACACACACAGACACACAAACACACAGACAGACACACACAGACACACAACACACAGACAGACACACACAGACACACAACACACAGACACACAGAGACACACACACAGACACACACACAAAGACACACACACACAGACACACAGACACACACAAACACACACACACACAGACACACAAACACACACACACACACAGACACACAGACACACAAACACACACACACAGACACACACACACGCTCGTCTATCTCTCCTGATCTGCGCAATGTCCATTAGACTCTGGTCCACGTTGCGCATCTCTGTAATGAACTGAGTCTGGATAAGGTGTGGGGGGGGTGGGGGGGTGGGGGGTGTGGTGGTGGGGGGGGGGATAGCTGCATCGGAGCCAATCTCATTAGGACTCGGATCAATGGCTGTGTCGCTCCCCTCCCCAACCCAGGCCGGGAGCTGTCAGCCCGCGGCGTGGACCAAGACTCGCAACGGATCGGGACTGCAGCCACCACTGCCGCTACCACTGCAGCCGCCACTGCCGCTACCACTGCAGCCACCACTGCCGCCGCCACTGCAGCCGCCACTGCCGCTACCACTGCAGCCGCCACTGCCGCCGCCACTGCAGCCGCCACTGCAGCCACCACTGCCGCCGCCACTGCAGCCACCACTGCCGCCGCCACTGCAGCCACCACTGCCGCCGCCACTGCAGCCGCCACTGCCGCTGCCACTGACGCCGCCACTGCAGCCACCACTGACGCCGCAACGACGCCACGCGGACGCCACCGACCCCCTTTCACGTTCGCCCGTTTGCAACCTCCGATTAGCACGGTCGGCTGCGTACGACGCAACGTACCAACATCTTGATTTGAAGTTTTCGTGACTGCAAGGATTCATATTCTTAGGTTGTTTTCGGTAAAGTCACGTAGGTAAAACATTTAAAGTTAATAAAAGTAGAATAAAAATCACGACGTTTCGGAGGCAACACAAGCTTCCGTCTTCAGCACGATAGCTGTATCACTTGATACAGCAATCGTGCTGTGACGGTTCCAACTGAAGACGGAAGCTTGTGTTGCCTCCGAAACGTCGTGATTTTTATTTAATTTTTTTTTTACTTTTATTAATTTAATTTTGTTTACCTACGTGACTTTACCGAAAAAAACCTAAGAATATGTACCAACATCTGCTAGGCAATGTGCGAATCAACAGCTTGCTTATTTATCGCGGAGAGCCACGCTGAGTGACGGCGCTCGCTTTTCAGGGGGCTAGTCCAGCTGCTACACGTGGTTTTTAATTTAAGATGTTTCCAGTCGATCGGTGACGACTCGCGTTTATTATTCACATGGGGAGGAGGGAAGCGGAGCATCCCGTAGAAATAAACCCGCGCCTTGCGCGAGAGGGGGCAACGCTCTATCCCCGTACAGATGGAAACAGATGGCGATTAGTCCACTGGCTGCACTGCGCTATCCTGGCGGAGTCAGGGTACGGCTCCTCCTGGACGCCTCCACAGAACTGGATTGCAGTCCACGTGTGCAGCGCTTCGATCGCTCCCTCTCACAACACTTGCCCGCCGTATCGCCTTCACAGATTGTGGATGGGCAAGTGCGGTTATCGAGCACCTATGAAGGTCAGCACGGCGCCCTGTGTCTGCCCCAAGTGCCGACGTTCACACACAGCTACCAAAGACACTCGTTCAAGGTTGAGAAGACCCAGCGGAGGTTCCAGGACCGATACAAATAATCCCCACCGATGTTGGCCGTGAGTGGCGATCGAACTCGGGTGGCTCGCTTCGTACAGGAGCGCGCTCGCCGCTAGACTACCACGACCCCCTAACACCAACACGACATCAACATCATCAGCTCAACGCGTGCGTTCTCGCGGCTGTATGACGACGTCGATGGGCTTTGTGTGCACGTATCGATCCGGCCCCATTCATTTCGCCAAAGCCCTCCGCCACCCGGCAGAGCCAGCACCAATCGAATCGCCACGCTGAGCGCGCCTCGTGTGGCCGAACCCCCTCGAGTCACGTGATGACCACGACCCCCCAGGGTCCACGACTCCACCCAGCACGAGGCCCAAGATTGACTGCTGACCACCCCGCAAGGCCCCCCCCCCCTCTCCTCCCATCAACACGAACACCGCCCACCCCCCGCCACCCCCTCCCCTCCACCCCCGCCACCCCCTCCCCTCCACCACCAATCTCACATCAGAGACCCGTTCCACCTGCCACGCTCTTAGCGAAGAGTGGAACGCAGGTGCGAGGGAATGCCCGCGGTCTAATCAGAGCCCCCCCCTGCCCCCCCTGCCCCCACCACCCCCCCCTGCCCCCACCACCCTCCCTGCCCTCACACCCCCCTTGACCCCCACCCCCCTTGACCCCCACCCCCGGCTCTATCACCCCCAACCCCCCCTCGCCGCCTCTCCGCTCCAAAGACGCCGTCTCACCCCGCTGCCACCAACCCCCGCGCCCAGCACGTGACGGAGAGCGAGCTGGGGTGACGTCATTGGAGTTCCATTTTTTTAAAACGACAGAGAGAGAGCCCCCCCCCCCCACTCTATTAGCGCCGCCGGGGGAGGGGGGAGGGGAAATGGGTCGGGGGGGGGGGTGCGGGGGCGGTCTGGGTTAAACCGAACGCGTGACCCCGAGGGCAGTGGACACTTGTGATGAACGGTGGCGGTGAACTCACGGGGTCACGCGTGGCTGTGTGAGTGTCTGTGTGAGTGAGTGTCTGTGTGAGTGTCTGTGTCTGTGTGAGTGTCTGTGTGAGTGTCTGTGTCTGTGTGAGTGGCTGTGTGAGTGTCTGTTTCTGTGTGAGTGGCTGTGTGTCTGTGTGTCTGTGTGAGTGTGTGAGTGTCTATGTGAGTGTCTGTGTGAGTGTCTGTGTGAGTGTGTCTGTGTGAGTGTGTCTGTGTGAGTGTCTGTGTGAGTGTCTGTGTCTGTGTGAGTGTCTGTGTGAGTGTCTGTGTCTGTGTGAGTGTCTGTGTGAGTGTCTGTGTCTGTGTGAGTGTCTGTGTCTGTGTGAGTGGCTGTGTGAGTGTCTGTGTCTGTGTGAGTGGCTGTGTGAGTGTCTGTGTGTCTGTGTGTCTGTGTGAGTGTCTGTGTGTCTGTGTGAGTGTGTGAGTGTCTATGTGAGTGTCTGTGTCTGTGTGAGTGTCTGTGTGAGTGTGTCTGTGTGAGTGTCTGTGCGAGTGTCTGTGTGAGTGTGTCTGTGTGAGTGTGTCTGTGTGAGTGTCCGTGTGAGTGTCTGTGTGAGTGTGTCTGTGTGAGTGTGTCTGTGTGAGTGTCTGTGTGAGTGTCTGTGTGAGTGTCTATGTGTGAGTGTCTGTGTAAGTGTCTTTGGGGAGCGGTAGTGTATCGGTTCAACGCGCTGCGCTACGAACCCGGAGACCCGTGTTCGATTCTCACTCACGGTCAACACAAGTGATGATTATTTGAATCTGTCCTGGCCCTCCCCTACGTCGACTCAGCCTCAAATGAGTACCTGCTCCTGTGTGTAAACATCGCCACTACGGAGCCTAAGGCGGCCGGGCGTGGTTCTTACCCATTCATCCCCCCCTCCTCGTGTGCCGTGCCGGCCTTCATATGTGTTCGCTCACAGCACTTGTCCCAACAATCGGTTAAGGCTATACGGGGACTCTTTATCTTTGTGTTTGTGAGAGTTAAGTTGGGGAGTGTGAGCTTGCGTGAGTGTCAATACGTGGCAGTGAGTGTGTGTGAGATAGCGAGGGGCGTGTGTCATTGGGGTGTGTGTATGTATGTGTGTGTTTCCATTGCATTGTGCGTGTGTTATATATGCGTGTACATATATAGTAACACACACACAGACGTGGAGTCACGCACCTTGCTCCATACACCGCCATGCAGAGCAGAGTCGGGGCCGGAGACGCGTGTGGGCTTGGGGACACACACGTGTACACATACTCACACACCTGTACATACACACACTCACACCTGTACACACACACTCACGTGTACACACACACTCACGTGTACACACACTCCTGTACACAAACTCACATACATGTACACACACTCACACACCTGTACATACACACACTTGTACACACACTCACTCACGTGTACAGACAGGACAGACACACACACCTGTACACACACACACCTCTACACGTACTCACACACGTGTACACACACTCACACACCTGTACATACACACACCTGTACACACACACTCACTCACGTGTACACACACACTCCTGTACACATACCTGTACACACACTCACATACATGTACACACACTCACACACGTGTACACACACTCCTGCATACACACATGTACACACATTCACATACATGTACACACACTCACACACCTGTACACACACACACACACCTCTACACATACTCACATACATGTACACACACTCACACACTTGTGCACACACACACACTTACGTATACACACACTCCTGTGCCCACACTCACATACCTGTACATACACGTGCACACTGGCGTACTCACACACACGCGTGTATTCCCGCACACATATGCGCTCACACCAGTGCACTCAGCTACACACACACACTCCTGTACACTCACGTACACACCTGTACACTCACACGCACGTGCGCACAAACGTACACACACACCTGTACACTCACGTGAACACACACATGTACACTCACGTACCCACGCGTGCACGAACACACGCGTAGACTCACACCTGTACATTCGCGAACACATGTTTACACACATGTTTACCCACGTGTACGTACACACACACGCACACACGGCCCGCATCTCGCCCCGCACTGCGTCTCTCCACGAGTACCGATAATTGGCTCACGTGACCTCATTACCGACTCTGCGTGACCTCAATGAAGTCCGCGCGAGGGGGGGGAGGGGGGGAGGTGAGGAGGAGGAGGGGGGCTACAGCAGCCGTGCTGGAGCTGTCCCTGCAACAGCATCGCTACAGCCACCTCTCGCTACTAAGCAGGTGTTCGTCCTTGCACAGGTATCCACGTATAGGCGCTGCACAGGTCTCCATGCTGTGCATGCTACGCGCATGCTGATGAACTGCTCTGCACACATGCGTGTGTACAGCTATGCACGTATGACTGCCATACATGGGGTACACACGATGTGTGCACATGCCGCGGTATATTGTGCTTATCTACGCATGTACACTCGCTTCGCATACATATATTGGTATGCATGGATATTGATACACACATGTATAGTTGATGTGCATGTATAAGCGCCGTACAGGTATTTTAGTCACTATGCGTGAATATTGACGTCGTGCGCGATTACTTAATTTCCGTGTGTATTGACGGATACGTCTCGCTATACATGAAGAGTATATGTGTATTTCGTGCATATATATACTCGCCATGCATGTATTTAGCGATACACGTGTACTGTGCGTCTGTATACATTCGTGTGTATATCCTGGCTATGCATGTACTGTGTATCATATCCTTGCACAAATTCGTGCATGTGTAATGTATTCTAGATTTGAAGTTTTCGTGACTGCCAAGATACATACTCTTTGTTTTTTTTGGTGTTGTGCCCGAAACGTCGTGATTACATTTATTTGTTTTCATTTTTTTTACCTACGTGACTTTACCGAAAATCCAAATAGTATGTGTAATGTATGTTTAATGATATGTATATTATGTAAATGTTAACTCAATGTGTGTCTATAATTTGCTACACATGTATGTGGATACACACGTATGTTCGCAATGCATCTATAATGCATGTACATGTTATGGATGTAGAACTTCTTTCGCACCGCACGTAGCCAAACCGTGCTCATCGGAGTTACGGGGGGGGGGGGGAGGGTAACAAACTAAACACAAAAAGCAGTTCCCAAATAAACGAGCTTCCAATGTAGATGACGATTTGCACGTGCACAGAGTTCCCAGCGGCCTCCTCATGTCGGAAGGAGAGAGCGTTCCAGACGGCCGCAGAAACGCGTCTGATGCGGTGACCGCCGCCTTTGTCCGATGGTGGGCTCAGAGCCGCTGCTACGAGCAGCCAAAAGCTGCACCGAGAATCATCACGTGGTGGTCACGCCGGCCGGTACACGTATATGTCATGGAAATATCACGTGCACACACTAAACAAAGATCCCCTGTATAGCCTTAACAGACTGTAGGGGCAAGTGCTGTGCACCTATCTAGGCCGGATCGGTACACGAGGGGGTGGGTGGCCTTCACCACGCCCGGCCGCCTTTGTCTCCCCAGCGGCGATGCTTACACACCGCACCGGGTACTCATTTGAGGCTGAGTCGACCTAGGGGAGGCCCAGGAACGGTTCAGATAATCGTCACTGGGTGTTGGCCATGAGCGGGAATCGAACTCGGGTCGCCGGGATCGTAGCACAGCGCTAACCGCTACCCCACGCACACGCAGACGTGTGCACATGAACCTGCGTGTGCATCCACGCACGGACACATGCGGAGGGCCTGTGTACACATGGGTGCATGAGGACACGGTTGCCTAAGTGTACACGAGGATGAGATGGGTGTTCGGGTTGACATGTACAAGAGTGTACATGGATACAAATGGGTACATGGGTACACGTGTGTACATGGGTACACGTGTGTACATGGATACACGTGTGTACATGGGTACACGAGTGTACATGGATACACGTGTGTACATGGGTACACGTGTGTACACGAGTGTACATGGGTACACGTGGGTACACGAGTGTACATGGGTACACGTGGGTACATGGGTACACGAGTGTACATGGATACACGTGTGTACATGGGTACACGTGTGTACACGAGTGTACATGGGTACACGTGGGTACACGAGTGTACATGGATACACGTGGGTACATGGGTACACGAGTGTACATGGATACACGTGTGTACATGGGTACACGTGTGTACACGAGTGTACATGGGTACACGTGGGTACACGAGTGTACATGGATACACGTGGGTACATGGGTACACGAGTGTACATGGATACACGAGTGTACATGGGTACACGTGGGTACACGAGTGTACATGGATACACGTGGGTACATGGGTACACGAGTGTACATGGATACACGTGTGTACATGGGTACACGTGTGTACACGAGTGTACATGGGTACACGTGGGTACACGAGTGTACATGGATACACGTGGGTACATGGGTACACGAGTGTACATGGATACACGAGTGTACATGGGTACACGTGGGTACACGAGTGTACATGGATACACGTGGGTACATGGGTACACGAGTGTACATGGATACACGTGTGTACATGGGTACACGTGTGTACACGAGTGTACATGGGTACACGTGCGTACACGAGTGTACATGGGTACACGTGGGTACACGTGTATGCACAGATATACGAGTACACGAGTATATCCGTGCAAGCGTGTGCACGGGCATATGCCTGTACTCGTGCATTTGAGCGCATGGGTACACAGAGGCACGCAGGCGCATCGCGTACACACCTGTGTGCAGGGGAGTACGCGTGTGTGCACACACAGGTGCACGGTGACACCACGTATGCACACGTGTAGAGGAACGCGTGTATAGCACACAGGTAAACGGGCACATCCATCCCCGCGTACAACAATACCCGTGTACAAAGACAATGATACCCCGTATATCCTGTAACAGGCTGTTGGGGCAAGTGCTGTTAGCGAACACCTATGAAGGCCGGCACGGCGCACGAGGGGGTGGGTGGCCAGACCCACGCCCGGCCGCCTTTGTCTCCCTAGTGGCGATGTTTACACACCGCACCAGGTACTCATTTGAGGCTGAGTCGACCTAGGGGAGGCCCAGGACCGGTTCAGATAATCGTCACTGGCGTTGGCCTTGAGTGGGAATCGAACTCGGGTCGCCAGGTTCGTAGCGCAGCGCGCTAACTGCGACACTACCGCTCCCCACACACACAGACAAAGATCCCCCATATAGCCTTCACAGACTGTAGGGGCAAGTGCTGTTAGCAAGCACCGGACACACACACAGACACACACACAGACACGCGCACTTACACACACAGACTCGGGTGGACACGGTCTCCCGTGACCCGATGACCTCACCTTTTCGAGTCCGTCCTCTTGGAGGCTCACGATGTCGAGGTCAAAGTCCGTCCTGAGTCCGTTCGTCTTGTTGAATCGGATCCTGCCCGTGAGTCCATCCCATTGCGTCTGTGGGGGTCACGTCACGTGGGGGGAGGGGGGGGGGGTCTCACGTGACTGTAGGGTACAGGTGTGTGGCCCGGAGGTCGTGTTCAATTCCACGAAGGCCAGTGACGATCACCTGCACGGGTCCTAGGCCTCCCCAGGGGAATCTCTCCCTGGCCCGCTCGGTGGGGGAGGTCGCGACCCCAATCGACCCTGACCTCTGACCCTCGTGCGCCGTGCCCGCTCTTCACCGCTGCTCGCTAACAGCGCTTGCCCCAAGAAAGTATAGAGCTTACACGGGGAGCTCATTGTCTTCGTATATATATATGTGTGTGTGTGTGGCAGTGCCTCCCCTAGGTCGACTCCGTCTCAAATTAATATCTTGTGCGGTGTGTAAACATCAACATTGGGGAGACAAAGGCGGCCGGGCCTGGTGCTGGCCACCCACCCCGTCGTGTACCGTGCCGATATTCAGAGGTGCTCGCGAAACAGCACTTGCCCCAACAGTCTGTGAAGGCTCTAGGGGGCTTATTTGTCTTTGCAAATGAGCGGTGGCACAGTGGTTAGCGCACTGCGCCGCGAACCCGGCCAACCCGAGTTTGATTCCCGCTCACGGCCCACATCGTGGTGGATTACAAGTCCTGGCGCGGCCTTAAAATACTACCTGACGCTGTCTGTGAAACAAGCCGCATTCTTGTTGAAATTGGACGTAAGCACAGGGAGGTGGGTGGGGGTGTGGGGGGGTGGGGGGTGTGGTAGGGTGGGAGATTGTGGGGGGTGTGGGGGGGTGGGGGGTGTGGTAGGGTGGGAGATTGAGGGGAGTGTGGGGGGTGTGGGGGGTGTGGTGGGGTGGGGTGTGGGGGGTGGTGGGTGTGGGGGGGTGGTGGGGAGTGGTGGGGGGTGTGGGGGTGGTAGGGTGGGGGGTGTGGGGGGTGTGGGGGGGTGGTAGGTTGGGGGGTGTGGGGGTGGGGTGGGGTGTGGGGGGGTGGTGGGGGGTGTGGGGGTGTGGGGGTGTTGGGGGGTGTTGGGGGGTGGTGGGGGGTGTGGGGGTGTGGGGGGTGTGGGGTGGGTGGTAGGGTGAGGTGTGGGGGTGTGGGGGGTGTGGGGGGGTGGTGGGGTGGTGGGGTTGGGGTGGGGGTGTGGGGGGGTGGTTGGTTGGGGGGTGTGGGGGTGTGGGGGGTGTAGGGGGTGTGGGGGGTGGTGGGTGTGGGGGGGTAGTAGGGTGGGGGATTGTGGGGGGTGTGGGGGGGGGCGGTGACGTCACCTCTCGGATGAGCGCGATGAGCCGCGGCCCGAACCTCCAGGGCTTGTGGCGGTGGCACTGCAGCGAGCTCACGGTCATGGAGGGAAGTCGCTGCGACGCCGCCGAGACCACGTGCACGGCGTCGTACATGAGGGCCGCGTCCGTCTACACAGACACGCGCACGCAGACACGCACAGGTGCCACGTGTAGCACACACACACACACGTGTCACATGTGTAGCACACACACAGGTGTCACGTGTATCACACACACAGGTGCCACGTGTAGCACACACACAGGTGCCACGTGTAGCACACACACACGTGTCACATGTGTAGCACACACACAGGTGTCACGTGTAGGACACGCACAGGTGCCACGTGTAGCACACACACACGTGTCACATGTGTATCACACACACAGGTGTCACGTGTAGGACACACACAGGTGCCACGTGTAGCACACACACACGTGTCACATGTGTAGCACACACACATGTGTCACGTGTAGCACACACACAGGTGTCACGTGTAGGACACACACATAGATACCACGTGTAGGACATACACGTGTCACGTGTAGCACACACACAAGTACCACGTGTAGGACACACACATAGATACCACGTGTAGCACACACACAGGTGTCACGTGTAGCACACACACAGGTGCCACGTGTAGCACACACACAGGTGTCACGTGTATCACACACACAGGTACCACGTGTAGCACACACACAGGTGCCACGTGTATCACACACACAGGTGCCACGTGTATCACACACACAGGTACCACGTGTAGCACACACACAGGTACCACGTGTAGCACACACACAGGTACCACGTGTAGCACACACACAGGTACCACGTGTAGCACACACACACACGTGTCACATGTGTAGCACACACATGTGTCACGTGTAGCACACACACACGTGTCACATGTATAGCACACACAGGTACCACGAGTAGCACACACACAGGTGTCACGTCTAGCACACACACACAGGTACCACGTGTAGCACACACACATAGGTGCTACGTGTAGCACACACACATAGATACCACGTGTAGGACACACACATAGATACCAAGTGTAGGACACACACATAGATACCAAGTGTAGCACACACACAGGTACCACGTCTAGCACACACACACAGGTACCACGTGTAGCACACACACAGGTGCCACGTGTATCACACACACAGGTGCCACGTGTATCACACACACAGGTACCACGTGTAGCACACACACAGGTACCACGTGTAGCACACACACAGGTACCACGTGTAGCACACACACAGGTACCACGTGTAGCACACACACACACGTGTCACATGTGTAGCACACACATGTGTCACGTGTAGCACACACACACGTGTCACATGTGTAGCACACACAGGTACCACGAGTAGCACACACACAGGTGTCACGTCTAGCACACACACACAGGTACCACGTGTAGCACACACACATAGGTGCTACGTGTAGCGCACACACACATAGATACCACGTGTAGGACACACACATAGATACCAAGTGTAGGACACACACATAGATACCAAGTGTAGCACACACACAGGTACCACGTCTAGCACACACACACAGGTGCCACGTGTAGCACACACACATAGGTGCCACGAGAAGCCTAAACACTCAACAATTTTTTTTATTTTACCAGGTCAGGTTCACTGAGCTGAACAGCTCTTTTTCAGAAGCGACCTGGCCACAAATGATAGCTCAACGGCTTATCATCACGTGGCAATGTCTAGCAGCCAAATACGCACATTGATTCTAAATGCGGAGGGGAAAAACTTAAGGGCCCAGATACAAATCCACGCGACCACGGGGAGAACAAAAATACAGCAGGCGTCAGGCACGAACCCACGACCTCCTGTATACCCGGCGAGGTAGTTAACATCTCGAAACCTTTGGAACCTCATTTGCCAGTAAAATATGATAATTGTTTTTTTTTTACCCTTCTATCTGGCAACAAAACTGACACCTTTTTTTACAAGGAGTCATGTTTACATAGACCACAATATCTGCAGTCATTGTCTTTAATTTGTGCGCCTTTTGGCGTCATCTGGTCCAACCCATGTGAGACTAGGCTCTAAGGAAAGCTGTCTCGGGTGTGGACCAATCAACTTCAAGGATAGTGCACATTATCAGAGTTATGTTTTTTGTTTGCAGTATGACTGGAGGTATTGTGGTCTATGTAAACATGACTTCTTGTAAAAAAGGTGTCAGTTTTAATTGCCAGATAGAAGGGTAAAATTGTTTTTATCTCGAAACCTTGTCACACACAGAGGTGCAACGGGGAATGGCTTTATCCGGCCTGCTCACCATCATGAAGATCCTTAACGATTGTGAGCAGTGGATCTGGGGCTCCGAAAGCACTCATACACACACGCTTCCACTGATACAAAAGATAAATATCTCCCGAATGGCCTTTAACAGACTGTAGGGGCAAGTGCTCTGAGTGAGCACCTTTGAAGGCCTGCACGGGACATGAGGTGGTGAGTGGCAGCATCACAGCCGACCGCCTTTATCTAATCCGTGGCGATGTTTACACACCACACTAGGTACTCATTTGAGGCTGAGTCGACCTAGGAGAGGCCTCTGACCGGTTCAGATAATTATTACTCGTGTTGGCCACCACTCCCAACTCACACACACTCACTCACACTTTACACATTCTCAATCACACGCACACACTGTAACACTCTTGTACACTCACACACTGGTCCACACACAAACACTCGTGTACACACACACACACACTCATATACACACTCACACTCGTGTACACACTTGTGCACCCACTCACACTCCTGTACACACTCATACACACACTCACACTCGTACACACACTCGCGCACACACTCACACTCATATACACACTCACACTCGTACACACACTGACAATCCTGCAAACACACTCACGCTCCTATACACACTTTTGCGCACACTCACACTCCTGGACACACTTGTCCACACACTCATACACACACTCGTACTGCTGCATACGCCCATGCATCCACTCACACTCGCGCACATCCACATCCACATTCTAATTCCCTCGCCTCCCCTCGGCTCTGACTCAAAGCTCGGCCGCTGCGCTCCGCCATCTGTGCGGGCGCATGGGGGCCGGGCGGCAGGAGGGAGGGAGGGGGGAGGGAGGGGAGGGAGGGAGGGGAGGGAGGGAGGGAGGGAAGGGAGAGAGGGGAGGGAGGGGAGTGAGGGAGGGAGAAAGGGGAGGGAGGGAGGGATGGAGAAAGGGAGGGGAGGGGGGGAGGGAGGGAGAAAGGGAGGGGAGGGGGGGATGGAGGGAGGGTGAAAGGGGAGGGAGGGAGGGATGGAGAAAGGGAGGGGATGGGGGAGGGAGGGAGGGAGAAAGGGGAGGGAGTGAGGAAGGAAGAAAGGGGAGGGAGGGAGAAAGGGGAGTGAGGGGAGGGGAGGGATGGGAGGGATGGAGCGAGGGAGGGAGGGATGGGAGGGGGGGATGGGAGGGAGGCAGACAGGAGACGGAGGGGAGGGATGGGAGGGAGCGAGGGAGGGAGGGGAGCGAGGGGAGCGAGGGGAGCTCGTGGTAGTATTGCTGTGATTGTTTGTGTTGTTTTTTTATGCAAAACAAACACAATTCATTTCATTTCCTTCCAGCTGATCCGGGATCAGCAGCGATCCTCACGCAGATACCGCGGCCCAGACGTGGACATCTGAGCGATTCCAAATGCCCCATCCCCCTGTTCCCCAAATCCCCACCCCCGCACCCTCCCACCCCTTCTCCCTCCCCCAATGCCCCCCCCCTACCCCCAATCCCAACTCATCCACTGCCCCCCACTCCCCAACTGCAGTCCTTCCCCTGCTCTCTCTACGCGCACCACGCGGTTTTTTGTTTAACCACGTGGTGGGATCACGGGGGGCTGGGGCCGCTAGAGATGGATTCACTCGGGGGGGGGGGGGGGGAGACGCGGTGGAGGGGGGGGGGTCCAAGGGGGAGCGGAGGTGGGGGGAGGGAGACGCACTCTGCATGGAAGCGCTTAAACTCGATTAAACTCGACAAATCTCTGCAAATGAGTCCCTGTGGGGAGGGGAGGGGGGAATAAAGAGCCTGCGTGGTGAGGGGGGGGGGAGTTGGGGGGGTGCGGAGGGAGATGAGGGGCGGGGCACAACCCTCTCCCCCCCCTCTCTTCTCCATCCTCCCCGCACTCCACCTCATCCACGACAGAGCGAGCATGAGGACATCCTTCAATCCGGCGTCTGCGCGCGCCTTAATTACAAAGAGGATGTGTGGGGGGTGGGTGGGTGGCAGAATTGGGAGTTGTGAGATGAGAGCGCGGGGAAGAGGGGGGAGAGAGGAGGGGGCCGGCGGGGGGGGGGGCGTGGTGAGGGGGAGGGGTAACGGGGGGTAAGGGGTGGGAGCCCCCCCCCCCGTGTGTGCTGGGATTTCTCGCTCGATGCACGCGTTTGTAGGGATTGATTGCGCCCGAGCGCTGATAAAAGCGGCCGCGTGCGCCGGGAGGCATTGATTGAGCGGGGCCGAGATCCCGGAGATGGCGCGCGTGGAGGGGCTGGGTGGTTAGGCAGAGAGAGAGAGAGGATATGGAGATGAGGAGGAGATGCTGGTGGTGATGATGATGATGGTTACCATTGAGGATGATGAGCATGATGATGATGAGGAGGAGGTTATTATTTTCAATTATGATGATACCAAGGGGGTGATGATGTGGCCGAAAGGGATCATGGGATAATGCCATAGGGGTGATAATGGTGGCGTCTATGGGATGATGCTAATACTACACGGACGAGTACTTTGATGGCGCTGATAAATCTTGCTGCTGACTACGACGACGACGATAGCGCCGTCAAGATTTACCTCGTGACATCTCTCCGTCTAAACCAAATCAAGCCTCCTGTGCATCACGTGACTTGCGCGTGAACCCCCCCCCCCTCTCCTCCTCGCCCCGCCCCCTGTGAGAACAGACGCCGCTCCTCCATGCAGCTCACTTCTGCTTGCTCCTCTTCCCTCCTCTACCCTCTCATCATCATCGTCACCATCTCATCATCATTGTTACCCTCTCATCATCCCCCACGTCTTGTCCCGGTCATTCCCCCCCAACCTCCTCCCTATGCTCCTCTCCCCCGCGCCCTCTTTGTCTCTCTTGGGTTCCTCCTCCTACCTCTGCTCACCCCTCGTGACCCCTCTGCTCACCCCTCGTGACCCCTCTGCTCACCCCTCGTGACCCCTCTGCTCACCCCTTGTGACCCCTCTGCTCCCGTTCCTCCGCTCCTCCAATATTTTTCTCTCGTCCCCCATTCCTCGCCCCCTCTCACGTTCCTCTCCCTGCGCCGCGGGCGTTACGTCCGTGACTCCCTCCTCGTGGTGGCTTTCTCGGTGGGAGCAAAACTACAACGCGTGCACCCCCCCCTTCTCCCTCCCCCCTCCCAGTACCGTCATGATCCCATCGAGCAGACCGGACTCGGGCCGCGGCGCCGCCTGGAGGCGCTCCATGGTCCACTTCTCGATGGTGGAGGCCACGTAGGAGCTGTCCGTGTTGAGGATGCGGAACCCGGTCATGTTCACTCCCGTGTAACGGTAATTCTCCATGTTCAGAGCCAGCATGTCCTGGGGGGGGGCAGGGGGTGGGGGGGGCAGGGGGTGGGGGGGGGCAGGGGGTGGGGGGCAGGGCAGGTGGTGGGGGGGGGGGCGCCAGGGATGCACGGCAGGACAAGAAGGTTGGCACCGGTGGAGTCTGAACTGAACCGGTGGAGTCAAAGGTCACGCAGGGGTCACGCAGGGGTCCGGCAGGGTCACGCAGGCGACATGGGGGGGAGGCATTGATACACACGGGGTCATACACGGGGTCATACACGGGGTCATACACGCACATTCAGACAATTCCACATTCCTCTGACGGGACAGCCAATGTTGACTTGGCCCACAAAGTGTTACCCCTTTTACCGACCACCCGGAGGGAGTTGATGCTGATGGGCCGAGTCAACATAGAGCCGCCCGCCCTGCCGACGAGCACCTTGGCCGGTGCAATGCCCAGTGATGATTATATTATCTGAATCGGTCCTGGGCCTCCCCTAGGTCGACTCAACCTCAAATGCGTACCTGGTGCGACGTGTAAAAACGTTGCCACTGGGGGGAGACAAAGGCGGCCGGGCGTAGTTCTGGCCACCCACCCCTTCGTGTGCCGTGCCGGCCTTCATAGGTGCTACTCGCTAGCAGCACTTGCCCCAATAGTTTGTGGGGATCTTTGTCTTTGTCTTTTTTTTTTGGGGGGTGGGGCACAGAGGGGGAGTCACGGCGAAGCAGTGGGGAGACAGAGGGAGAGGTGGGGAGGAGATCGAGGGGGAGCAGGGAGAGATCGAGGGGGGGCAGGTAGAGATGGAGGGGGAGCAGGGGGCAGAGAGAGGGGGACCAGGGGGCAGGTAGAGATCGAGGGGGGGGGGCCGATCGAGATGGAGGGGGAGCAGGTAGAGATGGAGGGGGACCAGGGGGCAGGTAGAGATCGAGGGGGGGCAGGTAGAGATCGAGGGGGGGCAGATCGTGATGGAGGAGGAGCAGGGGGCAGGTAGAGATGGAGGGGGGGAGCAGGGGGCAGAGAGGGGGGGGGGGGGCAGGACGGTGAGTCCGCGCTGGGGGTGGAGACAGAGACGGGAGCAGTGGTCACTCAGTGGGAGAGCCAGAATTGGGCTGACGTGAGTTCGCCCCCCCCCCCGCACTAATGGACCGCGGCATCATGCCTCCCCCTTCCCCCTGTCCCCCCCCCCACACCTCCCCTCCCCTCCCCTCCCCCCGCGTTCCGATGCTGAGAAGCTGGGGAAGCGGCCAAGTTGAATCTGAGAGGTCATCACGGACTATGCCACTGACGCTATGACGACAGACGGACGATGACGATGGCGATAATGAGGTTGGTACGTTGATGGACACACGCTAGTTGGAGATTGATGATGGTCAAAGTTGGATGGCGATAATGCTGCTGGTGATGCTGGTGGTGATGGTGGTGATGTTGGTGATGATGGTGATGACGGTTGTGATGTGGTGATGATGGTGGTGATGATGGTGATGATGGTGATGGTGGTGATGATGGTGATGACGGTTGTGATGTTGGTGATGATGGTGATGGTGGTGATGGTGGTGATGGTGGTGATGATGGTGGTGATGGTGGTGATGATGGTGATGACGGTTGTGATGTTGGTGATGATGGTAATGGCGGTGATGATGGTGATGGTGGTGATAATGGTGATGATGGTGATGGTGGTGATGATGGTGATGACTCTCGTCCCCTGCTCTGGTCTCATTCTGGGTGTTGCGCTGGGACCTTCCTCGCAGCTGCTCTTGAATGTGTGGTTATGTTGGTGGTTGTGTTGGTGGTTGTGTTGGTGGTTGCGTGTTTGCGGTTGTATGTTTCTGGGTGTGTGGTTGTGTTTGTGTGGTTGTGTTGGTAGTTGTGGTTGTGTGGTCCTGGGTCTGTGGTTGTGTTGGTGGTTGTGTGGTTCGGGCCGGTAGTTGTGGTTGTGTGTTTGTGGTCGTGTCGGTGCAGTTGTGTGGTTGCATTTGGGTCAGGGCAGGGGTCGTCAATCTTTCTAAGTAGAAGACAATTTTTTTTTGTCTTTGACCAAAATCATTCTCGAGCCGCACCCCACGCAGAACTGCGTGTACACAAACACAAACACAGCAGCAGGCATACAGCAGATGACAACACACATTCTCACTGAAATAAACAAAACAGCTGACGGAATAAACTGCGTCTATTTAGGTTATTTACCCGTTTAGCTATTCGTTAACAACACAGTTTGACATTTGGACATGTTATTGTCACCAAGAACCCATTTCCCTATTTAATAAATCATCTTTAAGGTAAAATTACGTTTAAGGTTTAAGGGTTTTTTTCAACGGCTGACCACAAAGGGAGCCGGCCAAAAAGCCACAAGGAGTGGAAGCCACAGAGCTGTCGCAAGCGGCCTCGGAGCCGAAGATTTGCCGGCTCCTGGTTTCGTGGGGGGCGGTGGTGTAGCGGTCATCTGCGCACTCGGCCACACGAGTTCAATTCCCGCTCACGGCCAACACCAGTGACGATTATCTGAACTGGTCCTGGGCCTCCCCTAGGTCTACTCAGCCTCGAATGAGTACCTGGTGCGGTGTGTAAACATCGCCACTGGGGAGACAAAGGCGGCCGGGGGTGGTGTTGGTGCTGGCCACCCACCGCCTCGTGTGCCGTGCCGGCCTTCATAGGTGCAACTCGCTAACAGCACTTGGCCCCAACAGTCTGTTACAGGCTATACGGGGGATCTTTGTCTTTGTGTAGTAGTTTTGGGGTAATGGTGTGGTTGTGGTTGGGTTGTGGTTGTGTTGTTGTGTTGTTGTTGTGTGCTTGTGTTGTTGTTGTGTGGTTGTGTTGTTGTGTTGTGGTTGTGTTGTGGTTGTGTTGTGGTTGTGTTGTTGTGTGTTTGTGTTGTGGTTGCGTTGTGGTTGTTGTTGTTGTGTGGCCGTGTCATGGTTGTGTTTTGAAATCGGAGGTCGATTTCGCTCGCAGCTAAAACACGGAGCGCGGTGAGGAGGGGGATAGGGGGAGGGGCGAGTGGGGGGAGGGGGGCAGGGTTCGGCTGCCCACTGAAGGGGGGACCTGTGAAAAAGTGAGTCCGCCTGTGTGTCAATACGTGTGTGTGTGTCAGTGTGAGTGTGTGAGTATGTGTGGTTATATGTGTGTATGTGTGTGTCAGTTTGTGTGTGTCAGTGTGTGTATGTATGTGTACTTATATGTGTGTGTGTGTCAGCACTTGTCTAAAGGGTGCGTTAAAGCCGACACGGGACAGCATTGCCTGTGTACATACGATGTACACGTGTGTCTGTGTGTACGTGCGTGTGTGCATGCGTGCGTGTGTTTGTGCCACGCGCTCCCACGCACGCACGTGCACATGTGATGTACACGCGATGTACACGTGTGTGTGTGCGTGTGTGTATGCGTGTGTTTATGCGTGCGTGTGTTTGTGCTGCACGCTCACACGCACGCGCGCGCACACGCGTGTACATGCGCACACGCGTGTACATGCGCACACGCGATGTACATGGGACGTGCATGCGATGTACACGCGTGTGCGTGTTTGTGCTGCGCGCTGGATTTTCCTGGCCCAGGATCAATTCGCGCATTCAATCAACGAGGCCTTGAGTCCCTCCCGCCCACAGCCCCCTCCTCCCACCAGCCCCCCCCCTCTCCCCCAGTGGTGCTGACGAAGCCCCCGTTGTGCGTGTCGCGCTGCCCCGCGGGAGCTGACAAAGCACGGCCCCCCCCCCTCCGATCCGGAGCCCCCCCCCCCCCCCGTGTTCTCCCTACGACGCACCAGCGTGGTAAAGATGTAGTGGTAGTATTCAGTCATCATCCCCATGGACAGCGCCTGGGGGGGGGAGGAACAGGGAACAGGGGACAGGGGGGGGAGCAGTCAGTCGCACCGCCTCCTCGGCTGCAACGGCGGTGTACAGGGAGGGGGGCGGTGTGAGGATGGGGGGGGGGTCCGGAGTGATCTTGATGAATGAGATGATGTAACTGCGTGACGGGGGCAGGGGGGGGTGCGATGTGCGGTGATGGGGAGGGAGCAGATGAAAGAGTGTGGTGTGTGGGAATCGCCGTTATATCGTCGTCGTCATCATCATCCGCTTAAGAAACCATCATCAGCAGCAGCACCATCGTAATCATCATCCGCTTAAGCAACCATCATCATCATCAGCACCATCGTCATCATCCAACATATAACATCGTTCGAGCACTCTGATAATAATGATGCGGTCATCTAATACAAATAAAACAATCATTAGGTTCCAAATATCACCATCCTCGCCATGAATTAACGTTATCCATACGTCATTATACCCTAATAATCATCTTCCTAAATATCCAATCAAGAAATTAAACTATATTGTATCATCACCTCTAATTCGCTTACATCGTCATCTTCCACGAGATATACAACACCATCAAACAAATATTACGATTATCCAACCACCACCACCATCATCACCATAACCTGGTCATCATCCAACGATCACCATCTGAATATGACTACAGTGGTGAGCCCAGCGTGTCACCCTGCTGAGTTAACCGCTCATCGCTCTCGCAAAGAGAGAGACAGCGAGGGGACGACTCAGAGGCGCCAGGGGGAGGAATCACAGACGATTCCCAAGCTCTGCGGTCCTCGATATATTCATATGCTTACGCCAATTAACGAGTGTGTGTGTGTAATTTCGATTTAAAGCTTTCGTGACTGCAGGGATTCATCTTCTTGGTTCTTTCGGTAAAGTCACGTAGAAGGGAGGTAATAAAATAATAAAAATAAAACATAACAAAAATAATTCTCACGACGTTTCGGCCACAACGCAAACAGCCGTCCTCACGTGACTTTACCGAAAGAACCAAGAAGATGAGTGTGTGTGTGTGGTGTATACGTGTGGCAGGAAACCCGAGCACCCGGAGAAAACCTATATAGTATTTTATAATGTTTTATTTTTATTATTTTATTATTTCCATTCTACGTGACTTTACCGAAAGAACCAAGAAGATGAATCCCTGCAGTCACAAAAGCTTTAAATCGAAATCCATCCTCATCAATTATATCATCTATTCATCCAAACATTGAATTTCATCATCTAACAATTATCATCAATAATATGATCATTATCGACTTTACCATCATCATCCAATATATTTAATCATTTAACATTATCATCGTCACCCTCTACTTATCATCCAATACATATCAGCATTATCATACAACCACATAACCTCAATAATCGCCGCCACGCCACCATCACCACCATCACCACCATCACCACGAGGCGATGTTCCCTGCTCTCTTCTCCATGCATTGCGCGAATCTCTGACTCTGAGCCCGCGTCGCGCTCCGGTAACGATGTGTGTTTTTTATCTGCCCTCCCTCCCTCTCTCTTCTCTCTCCTCTCTCCCTGGCACCCTCGCTGTGCAGGGTATTCATCAGTGTCCTCTCTCGCTCGTCCCAACGTCCCCCCCGCGCGCCTAACCGGGACGAATTATTTACAGCGACTAATCCGCGGCGAAATGCGGCACCATCACGGTCCCACGATGGTGTTGGCGGTGATGGTGCTGCTGCTGCTGATGATGATGCTGATGATGATGATGAGATGGTGATGCTGGAACAATGATGGACAGACAACCAAGAGCAGAAACAGGCGTCCGATGGGGGAGCGGCCACCGCGTAGAGATGGAGCGGTGACAGCTGCGAGAGATGGGCTTTCATCCAGCAGTGGATTGATGATAGCTGCTGCTGCTGATGATGACGATGATGAGATGGTGGTGCTGGAACAATGATGGACAGACAGCCAGGAGTAGAAACAGGCGTCCGATGGGGGAGCGTCCGCCGTGGAGAGATGGAGCGGTGACAGCTGCGAGAGATGGGCTTTCATCCAGCAGTGGATTGATGATAACTGCTGCTGCTGATGATGATGATGACGATGATGAGATGGTGGTGCTGGAACAATGATGGACAGACAGCCAGGAGTAGAAACAGGCGTCCAATGGGGGAGCGTCCGCCGTGGAGAGATGGAGCGGTGACAGCTGCGAGAGATGGGCTTTCATCCAGCAGTGGATTGATGATAACTGCTGCTGCTGATGATGATGATGATGACGATGATGAGATGGTGGTGCTGGAACAATGATGGACAGACAGCCAGGAGCAGAAACAGGTGTCCGATGGGGGACCGTCCGCCGCGGAGAGATGGAGCGGTGACAGCTGCGAGAGATGGGCTTTCATCCAGCAGTGGATTAATGATAACTGCTGCTGCTGCTGATGATGATGACGATGATGAGATGGTGGTGCTGGAACAATGATGGACAGACAGCCAGGAGTAGAAACAGGCGTCCGATGGGGGAGCGTCCGCCGCGGAGAGATGGAGCGGTGACAGCTGCGAGAGATGGGCTTTCATCCAGCAGTGGATTGATGATAACTGCTGCTGCTGATGATGATGATGACGATGATGAGATGGTGGTGCTGGAACAATGATGGACAGACAGCCAGGAGCAGAAACAGGTGTCCGATGGGGGACCGTCCGCCGCGGAGAGATGGAGCGGTGACAGCTGTGAGAGATGGGCTTTCATCCAGCAGTGGATTGATGATAGCTGCTGCTGCTGCTGATGATGTGGACGCCACTGGCTGATGAGCATCACGACCGAGTTGCGGCTGACTCGTCCGTGCTGTCGCGGTCGGTGACGATGACTGCCGCGTGACGGTTCCACATCGAAAGTGGCGGTCCGAGTGACGTGCTGGTGTGCATTAAAAAAAGTAAAAAATCTGGACCGTGACGCCGGCACACGATGGGCAACTCTTGCGAACGGCGTCACAGGATCTTGAACGCGCACCGTGCAGCAGACGGCAGGTCGTGGATGTATGGCTAACACGCAGACCGCAGCGATAGCCAGGGTGGCCGCGGGATTTCGAACCGGGAACCTCCACAGGGGCGAACGCCCTGCCGCTGGGACATCTCCCCATAAATCTCCCGGCACCATCACCGACTCGCCCCATCACCAACATCGCCCCATCACCAACTCGCCCCATCACCAACATCGCCCCATCACCAACATCGCCCCATCACCAACATCGCCCCATCACCAACTCGTCCCATCACCAAGTCGCCCCATCACCAACTCGCCCCATCACCAACATCGCTCCATCACCGACTCGCCCCATCACCGCCATCGCCCCATTACCAACATCGCCCCATCACCAACATCGCTCCATCACCGACTCGCCCCATCACCGCCATCGCCCCATCACCAACATCGCCCCATCACCAACTCCCCCATCACCAACATCGCCCCATCACCAACATCGCCCCATCACCGCCATCGCCCCATCACCGCCATCGCCCCACCACCACCGCCATCGCCCCGCACCTGCTTGAGGATCTCTGCCGCCGTGGTGTGGCTGCAGTCGAAGATGACGTGGAACTCCTTGGCACGCTTCATCTCACGCAGCAGCGGCCGTGCGTCCTTCGTGCCCGTGGGGAGCTGCCGGATCTTGAGCCGGATGCTGTAGCGCGACGGCGCCTTGATCAGCTCCTGTAGCCTGATGAGGCCTGGCAAGGGCGAAACCAGCAGCGGCAGTAGCAGCAGGAGAACAACAACGATCGGTATCGCGGTAACCGCTGGGTTTGATCACGCGTGTCTGTCCTGGGTCAGGGTTCTATTTCTTGATCGTCGTCGTCGTCGGCATCGTCACCACGTGGTAGCGACGCGCCTAATCGTCATAATCACCGGGCAGTATTCATCATCATGATCATGCATTCATCATCTTGCTGGGGCGGTCTCTAACAACAACAAAAACGACGGGATTGGGGGTCGCCCGCTGCACTGAGACGCGGATCGCTGCGGGGGGTGGGGGGGCCCGGGTGGGGGGGGCGTGAGTGGCGCTGCTGCTGCTGCTGAACGCGGTTCGTGTGACAGCCCCATTGGTCGCAGTCCCACCACTCACCCCATACACACTCATTCCCTACACACTCACCCCCTACACACTCACCCCCTACACACTCACCCCCTACACACTCACCCCCTACACACTCACCCACACATTGATCCACACATTCACCCACACACTCGCTCACCCCCTACATACTCACCCACAAATTCACCTGCACACTCGTATACTCACCTACACACTCACCCCCCACTCCTTCGCCCTCCACTCCCTCGCCCCCCCCCACTCCCTAGCCCCCCCCCACTCCCCCGCCCCCCACTCCCCCGCCCCCCACACCTGAGCGCCCAGGAGACACGCGGTTGTTATTTATTTATTACTCAGCAGCAGCAGCGGTGGCGGTGGCGAAAATGGGAATTTTATTTTTAATCCAAATCGGATTGGTGGGTAGGGTCGCCATCCCGGGGGCCCTGCTAGCCGAGAGCCCCCCACAGTTCCACCGCAGCGCGGATTACAGCCCCCCCTCCCACCCACAACTCTCCCCCACCCTCCCTATGCCCCATCTCCCCCCGCGCCGCCGCCACCACCACCACCACCTCCCCGGTGGCGTCCTCTGCGTGCAGTTGTGTCCTCGGCAAGTCTCATCTCACGGAGTGAACTCCGAGACGGCATCCGCAGGAGCTTCAGGCGCCCCCCACCACCACCCCCCCCCCCACTACCCCCCCACCACCCTCCCCCCACCACCCCCATACAGCCAAGAAGGTTCACCCCACACAGGGACCCCCTTAGCATCATCAGCATCATCACCGTGGCTTATTTTAAACAATCATCAGTTTTGAATCGGTGTGTGTGTACTGCTGTAAATGTATGAATCAGAAGACAAAGATACCCCGTATAGCCTTAACAGACTGTTGGGGCAAGTGCTGTTTAGCGAGCACCTGTGAAGGCCGGCACGGCACACGAGGGAGTGGGTGGCCAGCACTACTCCCGGCCGCCTTTGTCTCCCCAGTAGCGATGTTTACACACCGCAACAGGTACTCATTTGTGGCCGAGTCGACCTAGGGGCGGCCCCGGACCGGTTCAGATAATCGTCACCAGTGTTGCTATCCGTGATCGGGAAACGAACTCGGTTCGCCGCGATCGTAGTGCAGCGCGCTAACCACTATGCCACCGCTCCCCACGATACCCGTACGAACGCTGCCAAGTACACAACTCAGCATTGCGACTCTGCTGCTGCTGCTGAAGGACGTGGACACGAAACGAGGACTCGGACATCGCGTGGATTGGACAACACACACTCGATTTGAAGCTTTCGTGACTTAGGTTTTTTCGGTAAAGTGACGTATTTTATCATTTTATTTCTATTATTAGAAATACAATTATAAATCACAATTTATAATTGTATTTCTATTATTATTTATATATTTAATATTTATTATTTATTTTTACCTACGTGACTTTACCGACAAAACCTAAGAGTATGAACACACACGCGATTTGAAGCTTTCGTGACTTAGGTTTTTTCGGTAAAGTGACGTATTTTATAATTTTATTTCTATTATTAGAAATAAAATTAGAAATCACAATTTCTAATTTTATTTCTATTATTATTTATATTATTGATATTTTATTACTTATTTTTTTATTTTCCCCTACGTGACTTTACCGACAGAACCGAAGAGTATGAACACACACGCACACACACGTTGCCGACGTCACAATCACTGAAGTCGTCCTCCTGCAGCGGAGGATCGCGAGTGTCCACCTTCTCACGCCGTCTCCCGTGTCCACCCCCCCCCCCCCCCGGTGTCTACCCCCACCCCCACCTCCCCTCCCTCTCGTACCTGCGCTGTACTGGCAGTCGACTGAATACCACGGTCGCAGCTGCTGTAGTTAGGGGGGCGTCCATAAATGACGTCACGCGATTTTGGACGATTTTTTACCCCCCCCCCCTCGTCACGCGGCGTCACAAAAAATCAGACCCCCCCCCCTCAAATATGACGTCACAAAGCTCTGCCCCCCCCTCCCAAAATAAAACATGCTTAAAATCGCTTTATACTATTGTCATTGTAGTGCGTAACTTCTTGGTTCTTTCGGTAAAGTCACGTAGCTACCGAAAGAACCAAGAAGATTAATCCCTGCAGTCACGAAAGCTTTAAATCGAAATTGTAGTGCGTATTTAATGTGGCGCTGCACTCTGATGTTTTTAGGAGTGTTGTTATAACAATTAGTGTCGTTATAACAATTCTATATTTATTTAAAGTTGCGCATTTTGATGTGACGTCACATTTCTCACCCCCCCCCCTCCGTCACACATCGTCACAAATATCTAACCCCCCCCCCCTCCCCTAGTTGCGTGACGTCATTTATGGACGGCCCCTTACACACGAATCCATCTCCTACCGGAGGCGGAGGAGGTCTGGTGGGTACCCCCGCAGAGGCGTAGTTAGGGGGGGGGGGCAGGGGGGGTACACGTGTCCCCGGGCGCCAAGGTAAAGGGGCGTCAAAACGAGGCTTACAACTTTACATTATAACTTTTTGCGGCGGGCGCGGCAGCCTGAAACTACTGCACAAATCTACACCTCAACCTAAAAGTTTATATATCCCGCCACACACAGCCTACATATCATGTAATTACATTTTGGTACGTGATTGAACGGGGGGGTGGGGGGGGAGCGCCAATTTTATAGTTCGTCCCCGGGCGCAAAATATCCTAGCTATGCCTCTGTACCCCCGTGCGCCACCATGTCAGTCCAATACCCATATTCTTAGGTTTTTTCGGTAAAGTCACGTAGGTAAAACATTAAAATTATTTTATTTTACTTTTATTAATTTTAATGTTTTACCTACGTGACTTTACCGAGAAAAAAAAAACCTAAGAATATGAATCCTTGCAGTCACGAAAGCTTCAAATCTAGTCCAATACACCTCCCTCCCAAGCGGTGTCTCTCCCCCCCAACACCTCCCCTTGCCCCCCCCCCCCACCTCCCCCCAGCGCGTGTACCGGTGCTGTCCTGGTAGACGACGGTGACGAGGCGCCAGTGGAAGTGCTGCACCAGCTCCAGGATGGCGCGTGACAGCGACGCGTACTCGGGGTGGAGGTTGGCGTAGAAGGCGTCGCGCGAGCGCGTCACGTGCTGCTTCCACGCGCTCTGCACGTGCGGCACCTCGAGGGCGCTGCAGATCGACTGCACCGAGTTGGCCGACGAGACGTGCGGCGGACCGAAGATGGAGGCGACGCCGAGGGACAACTGGTCGCACGCTGTCGGGGGGGCGGGGGAGACACGGGAGTGGGCGGGGGAGATACGTGGGGAGACACGGGGGAGACACGGGGGAGACATGGGGAGGAGACGGAGGGAGACACGGGGGGAGATACGTGGGGAGACACGGGGGAGACACGGGGGAGACCCGGGAGAGACACGGGGGAGACACGGGGAGACGGGGGGAGACGCGGGGGGAGACAGGGGGGAGACAGGGGAGAGACACGGGGAAGACACGGGGGGAGACACGGGGGGAGACACGGGGGAGACACGGGGGGAGACAGGGGAGAGACACGGGGGGAGACGCGGGGGGAGACAGGGGAGAGACACGGGGGAGACACGGGGGGAGACACGGGGAGACACGGGGGGAGACACGGGGGGAGACACGGGGGAGACACGGGAGAGACCCGGGAGAGACACGGGGGAGACACGGGGAGACACGGGGAGACGGGGGGAGACGCGGGGGGAGACAGGGGGGAGACAGGGGAGAGACACGGGGGAGACACAGGGAGACACGGGGGGAGACAGGGGAGAGACACGGGGGGAGACACGGGGGGCGACAGGGGGGAGACACGGGGGGAGACACGGGGGGAGACACAGGGAGACACGGGGGGAGACACGGGAGAACGAGACAGGAGGAGGAGGATTTCTCCACGACTCTGGCTGTTGCCTGATGATGCCGGTTGTATTTACCGGTGCAGCGTCGCACTCGAATCGTAAATGTTGTGGGTTTACTCTACGACACACCACCGGTGTGGCTGTACTCGTAACCAATTGGCACGTTCTGTTGACGTGACACAACCTTACTAGTTGGCTGTGTCGGGTGGTGGCGGGTTTAACGACACGTTTATATACTTACGCGATCTCACCCCGAAACAACCTCTATTCTGGATGATATTGGTCGCGAAAGCCTTCCACGTGTTAAGCAAACGGAGAGTGGTGCGGAGTGCGGGAGATAGCGAAGCAGGGGAGGGGGGGGTGGAGGAATATGGGGGAACAGGGGGGGGGGGCCGTGGCGGTGAATTGGGGGGTGGGGGGCGGTGTGTGGGGGGGGGATGAGAGGGTCGAGGGGGGGGGAACGAGTGGGTTAGGGAACACGCGCAACTCGGAGTCATCGTGAGAGAGGTGGGAGCAGTTCGTGTGTGTATCCCCCCCTCTCCACTCGCACGTGCGGGGTTTTCTCCAAGCTGCTCCGGTTTCCTCACACACACGCACACACGTGTGTGAGCACACTCATTGATGTGGGCCATCACATCGTGATATATAGAGGACCGCAGAGCGTAGGCAATTGGCTGCTGCTGCTGCCTTCTCGCTCGACTGTGGTTATCTCCTCCCGAGCGCCTGAGTCGCCCTCTGCCTCTGAGTCGCCCTCTGCCTCCGAGTCGTCCTCTGCCTCTGAGTCGTCCTCTGCCTCTGAGTCGCCCTCTGCCTCTAAAGTCGCCCTCTCCCTCTGAGTCGTCCTCTGCCTCTGAGTCGCCCTCTGCCTCTAAAGTCGCCCTCTCCCTCTGAGTCGTCCTCTGCCTCTGAGTCGTCCTCTGCCTCTGAGTCGCCCTCTGACTCTGAGTCGTCCTCTGCCACTGAGTCGCCCTCTGCCTCTGAGTAGCCCTCTGCCTCTGAGTCGTCCTCTGCCTCTGAGTCGCCCTCTGCCTCTGAGTCGCCCTCTGCCTCTGAGTCGTCCTCTCTCTCTACGCGAGCGAACAGCTGATACCGTGCATCGGCGGTGTCGCGATACGAGTTGACGTCGTTGTTGTAATAACATCACAGGGGGGAGCCAGGGGGCGGACGAACGGACGAGGGGTGGGGGGGGGGGAGTATTCGATCCGTCCAGCCAAGGTCGAAAGGTCATCCAGACACCGATAGCAATCTGCCAGTAGGTGGCGATGTTGCTGTGTGGTCTAGCCTGGGGCACCCCCGGTGGCAGCTGTCTCTGTGCATCAGTCTGCTGGCCTAGAATGGAGGAGGATGTGGAGGAAAAGTGGATCCACGAGTAGCGAGCAGTGGCAAGTTGGAGGGGAGAGGAGAGAGGGGAGAGAGATGTGGAGAGTGGAGGGTGGGAGGGATTGGGATGGATGGGGGGGGGGGATGGACCGGAGCGAGAGTGCTCATGCACGAGGTGTCGGGCTGATGAGAGAGCGCCGCGAGGGGGAGTCCGCTGTGGAGATGGAGCGACACGGATCGCCCCGTGTGCTGGACGCTCGTGCGGTGGTGATGGCTAGCGAGGCGGCTGCTGCTGCTCCTGCTGCTGCTGCCCATGCGGTCAAGTCGAGTGATTTGTGTGAACGTCCCGAGGCTTTGAAGCCCGCGGCTCTCGGCTCGATGGGGAAACAACGCGTGAGGAATCCTGATAGCCCCCCCTCCCTTCCCCCACCGCCCTCCAAACCATTGCCCCCCCCCCCTTACTCACCACAAGCCCCCACCCTCCCGTCTCGGGCGAAATTGCGATGGAGATTATTTTAGAAGTCGCGGTTTTAATCTCGATCATTGGAGCTTGTGTTTGGGGTCCGAACTTAACCACCGGCCCCTCCCCCCGCCCCCCCTTCAACCCCCCCCCCCCTGCCCCAACCCCCCATCCACCCTTCCCCGCCCCTCCTCATCAACGCTCCCAGCATCTGCTGCCATCATCATCCGCAGCACCGCCCCCCGCGCTCCCCATCTCGACCTCCACATGGTCCCCTATCTCCTACATATGATCCCCCACATCTCCTCTATATGATCCCACATCTGCTGCCTCCCCCTGCTCCCCCATCTCCCTTTATCTCCCCTCCCCTACTCCCTCTTTTCCCTCCTGCTTCTCCCTATCTCCGTCTCTGATCCTGCTTCCCGTTCCTACAGAATCCCCTCTCCGCTTGCTCCTCATCTCCCCCCACCTCCCCCTACCTCCCCTGACATGCTCCCCCATCTCCCCCTACCTCCCCTGACATGCTCCCCCATCTCCCCCTACCTCCCCTGACATGCTCCCCCATCTCCCCCTACCTCTCCTGACATGCTCCCCCATCCTCCCCCTACCTCCCCTGACATGCTCCCCCACCTCCCCCTACCTCCCCTGACATGCTCCCCCACCTCCCCCTACCTCCCCTGACATGCTCCCCCACCTCCCCCTACCTCCCCTGACATGCTCCCCCACCTCCCCCTACCTCCCCTGACATGCTCCCCCACCTCCCCCTACCTCCCCTGACATGCTCCCCCATCTCCCGCTTGCTCGCCCTCCCTTCTCCCCCTATCCCGCCACCCCATCCCCCCCCACTCCTCCCGCTCCTCATCCCCCTGCCCCTCCCCTTCCCCTCCCCTGCTCCCCCCCTGCTCCCCCCTGCTCCCCCCCCTGCTCCCCTGCCCCCCCTGCTCCCCCCTGCCCCCCCTGCCCCCCCCCCACCCCGCGCACCCTTGCGTGACGCCTCGAAGCTGTCGAAGACGTTGATGCGCTGGATGTCGTAGGTGAGCGTCGTGTTGGGCAGCAGGGAGCGGTTGCGGTTGATGGAGTTGACGGCGAACTTGAAGGCGAGCTCCTCGGCACCCGAGGGGCCCCCCTCCACCACCTCGAATATCCCTCCTGGGGGGGGGGGGGGGCACGAACATAAAGGTCACCCGTATAGCCGTTAGCAGAACGTTGGGGCAAGTGCTGTTAGCGAGCAACTATGAAAGCCGGCACGGCGCACGAGGGGGTGGGTGGTCAGCACTACGCCCGAACGCCTTTGTCTCCACAGCGGCGATGTTTACAACAACCGCACCGGGCACTCATTTGAGGCTGAGTCGACCTAGGGGAAGAGCCGGGACAGGTTCAGATAATCATCGCCGGTGTTGGCCGTGAGCGGGAATCGAACTCGGCGTCACACACGCAAAGACACACACGCAGAGACCCATACATCGTCTCACAGAGACCTATAGCCTCACGGAGACCTGTAGACTCGCGGAGATCGATACACTCTGATGGAGATCGATTATACTCACACCGGGGACCCATCGACTCGCACGCGGAGGAGACGACCGCCTCTCGCTATGAAGCGCGCGCACAGCCGCTTGAAGTGTACATCGGCAGGGTTATCTATCGAATGTAAATGCGTTGCCCAACTTAATCGGTGTCGGCACGTGGAAGAGGGGGGGGGGTGAGGGAGGGGGCTGGGTGGTGGGGGGGCTGGGTGGGGGGGGGTTCCCCAGCCCCTCGTGCAGGGGGGGGGCTCCCCAGCCCCTCGTGCAGGGGGGGCTCCCCAGCCCCTCGTACAGGGGGGGGGGCTGGGTTGGTTGGGAGTTGTTGGTGGCGCTAATGAATGATGCGGCCTGCACCGCGCACGGGAGACGGACAAGCGGACAGGCGAGTGGGCAGAGGAGCAACGCTGGGACTGACACCGCTGGCAGAAGCACTCGGGCCGGCAGACTGACACTCAAGCGCACGGACAGAGCGACACTGACACACACACACACACTGACACACACACTGACACACAGACACTGACACACACTCACACTGACACACACACTGACACACACACTGACACACACACACTGACACACACACTGACACACAGACACTGACACACACACACACTGACACACACACACTGACACACACACTGACACACACACTGACACATACACTGACACTAATTGGCCTCGCGATGTCGCAACGCAGCGGAGAACCGGGCTCCCTCCCCCTACACCCCCCTCCTCCCCCTCCCCCTCATCGCGACTCCCCCCCCCACACCTGCCCCCCCCTCTCCGCCACCTCCCCCACCCTCCAGCCCCCTCCCACCCCCACCCGCACGGACAATGACCGCTGGGACCCACACGGCCGCTGAGCGACGCTAATGAGAGACCCCCCCGCCCCCCCCCCCCGGGGACGCAGGCGGGGGAGGGGCGGGGGGAAGGGACATGGGGGAGGGGCGGGGGAGGGACATGGGGGAGGGGGAGGGGGGACAGGGGGCGGGGCTGTGGTGCATCACGTGGGCACAGCAGCAGCAGCGGCAGCAGCAGCAGCAGCAGCAAGCGCGTTCCGTGGGGATGAACGCGGTGACGTCACGGACGCGACACACAGCAAAGTGCACGGCAGCTCACACTCAAATACACACGCGTACACAATGCAATGCACGCAAGTACGTAATATCTCAACACACACACACACAACAGTGCACGCACGCGCACGCACGCACGCGCGCGCACGCCACAACAACTCGTCACTAAATTTCGGTTTAAAGCTTTCGTGACTGCAGGGATTCATCTTCTTGGTTCTTTCGGTAAAGTCACGTATAAGGGAAATAATAAAATAATAAAAATTAAATAAAAACACATGTTTTATTATTTTATTATTTCCCTTCTACGTGACTTTACAAAAGAACCAAGAAGATGAACTTGTCACTAAGTGGCGGCAGACGTTACCACCAGGCTAGGTACACTTTGAGGCCGCGTGAAGTATCGAAGGCTCGCTGTTGACGGGAGGTCGCAAGACAGACCCAGGTGACGTGGGTTGAGTGACCGAGACGACTGTCAGATGCACCGACTGTGCCCCACGCACCGCGTCGCTCCTCCGCCTCCGCTGTTGTTGGAGGGCGACTGCCCCCAACTGATTCTAGATTTGAAGCTTTCGTGACTGCAAGGATTCATATTCTTAGGTTTTTTTCGGTAAAGTCACGTAGGTAAAAATTTTAAATTAATAAAAGTAAAATAAAAAATTAAATAAATCACGACGTTTCGGAGGCAACACGGAAGCTTGTGTTGCCTCCGAAACGTCGTGATTTTTATTTTATTTTCACTTTTATTAATTTTAATTTTTTACCTACGTGACTTTACCGAAAAAACCTAAGAATATGCCCCCAACTGCGCAGTGGCGCTCCTTCACGAGCCTCATCAATCGAAGCCGATCTTGACACCGCTAAGCTACGCGTGCTTCTGTCACGCATCAGTCCATCTCTTCTCTGGCCCGTGCCCGTTTAGCCCCCCTCTGTCCGGCTCAAACAGAAGCTGCTTGGGCATGCGGTGGCTGGGCATGCGGGTCACGTGGCTCAGCCAACGCAGCCTCCTCACCTGCTGGAGGAGCTTACTGATGGGACCGTGTCCAGATCTTTCACGGATAAACGAGCTCCTCACACAATCCAAAGTGGTTATACCCAGGATAGATTGTGCGTAGGTCAACCCGATTGTTTCTAAGCGGCGCAGATGTTCATCCAGAAGGCTCCACGTCTACACACGCATAGAGAAGGAAGGGAGGCTATAACTGCGTCTGAGAAGACCCGGAGCTTCGTGTGGCACCAGGTAGCTTCCACAGCGTTACGCAAACTGATGCAAAGACAATGCCCGCTCCACCGATTCGTAGTGAGACCTCTGCTGCTAGTCTGGAGCCGGTCATAAGCAACATCTGCCCAGGTTTGGAAAACTTCTCCACTCTCTCTGGGGAAGTTAAAGAGATTGGGGTTATTCGTTATTCGTTGACATCAAATGGCCAGGCAGGTGCTTTGTTTTTGGTGAGGCTGATGACGAGGCCCCATCTCTGAGTGGCACGCTCCAGGTCATGCAGAGTTAGCAGCAATCACCAGATCATCGGCACACGAACCATGGTTGACCAATAGGGAGTCATCCCTTGACCCCAACCGGACATTGCTCAGCACGCAGTAACACACACACAGCATTGCACAGCACAGTACACACCACAACACACAACACAACACAGCACACAACACAGCACACAACACAGTACATAACACAGCACACAACACAGTACACAACACAGTACACAGCACAGTACACAACACAGTACACAACACAGTACACAACACACAACACAGTACACTACACAGCACACAACACAGTACACAGCACACAACACAACACAGTACACAACACAACACACAACACATCACACAACACAGCACACAACACAGCACACACACAGTACACAACACACAACACAGCACACAACACAGCACACAACACAGCACACAGCACACAACACAGCACAACACAGTACACAACACAGCACACAACACAGCACAACACAGCACAGTACACACACAGTACACAACACAGCACAGTACACACACAGCACACAACACAGCACACAACACAGCACACAACACAGCACAGTACACACACAGCACACAACACAACACAGCACACAACACAGCACACAACACAGCACACAACACACAATACAGCACACAACACAGCACACAACACAGCACAGTACACACACAGCACACAACAACACAACACAGCACACAACACAGCACACAACACAGCACACAGCACACAACACAGCACACAACACAGCACACAACACACATCACAGCACACAACACAGCACACAACACAGTACACACACAGCACACAAGACAGCACACAAGACAGCACACAAGACAGCGCACAACACAGCACACAGTACACTACACAGTACACAACACAGTACACAACACAGTACACTACACAGTACACAACACAGTACACAACACACTACACAACACAGTACACAACACAGCACACAACACACAACACAGCACACAACACAGCACACAGCACACTACAGAGTACACAACACGCAGGACGCAATGCATCGCCATCACATGCTCACAACATAACGATGCATCCCAGTGTATCAATAAGCGACTGCACATTGCGACGTAACAACACAATACATCATCATAAAACACGCCACTAGACGCGAGTTTAGTCCCATCATCGTAACACGAGGACACAAGATGACGAAACGCAAAGCAATTCATCATCTTTCAACATTACACACGGAGGCGACAGACGTCACGAGGCATCACAAGGCTTCGTGATAACACGGCGTGACTCCAGACCAGCAGCGCTTCGAGTGACACCACCAGCACCATCGTCATCATCATCATCACCATCACCACCATCAATACCATCGTCATCACCATCATCACCATCATCAATATCACCATCACCACCACCATCGTCATCACCATCATCACCATCATCATCATCACTACCATCACCATCGTCATCACCATCACCACCATCAATACCATCGTCATCATCAATATC